CACCTTTCCGCTTCTCTCTGTTTTTCCGCTTCATTTTAAATGTAAATTATCAACCCGAGCACCACCCCCTGTGTGCGTGCTCCCTATGTCCCATTCGTGGCGAAAAAGGAAAAAAAAAAAAAAAAAAAAAAAAAAAAAAAAAAAAGAGGAAAAAATACAAGCGGGAGAAGAAACTAATACGAAATATATAAGGAAAACCCGACTGCCTTAACGTGGCCCTTGGAAAGTGTAGCACACGGGGTCCACCTGCATGTATATATAACGGTGCGCTTCCCGTTCGCTACTTCCCAATTCGTCACTTCCTTTTTTGCCGCCTCCTTTTTTTCCCATTTAAAACGGGCCCCCCACACACCTCTCTGTCCGTTTTCCGAATCAACAACAAACACTTATATGAATGAACGAACAAAGTTTGAAATTTGAGAATCTAAAAGGAAGAATCGGTGCAAGGGTGGAGGATACAGGATGCACGTGTGCGTGCGTGCGTGTGTGTATACGTGTGTGTGTCTTTGGAGCAGGACACCAACGGCGTAAACCTTTTCTCCATCCCCCCTCACACAGCACAAAAGGTAACATTGGGAGGGCAGAAAAAAAAGGGGGAGCATCTAATTACAGGTTTACACTTATCCCCCTCTTCTCCGCTGAAATGACCACAATCGCACACGCATATTTTCGCGTGGTATTTTGGCCGAACACACACACACACGCACAGATGGAGACAAAACAAGCAAAACAATTGGACAATCAAGCCATAGAATTAAATTTCGCGAACTTTTTTATTCTTTTTTTTAAAAGTTCGTTTTCTCCCCGTAGGGATGCGACTTCCTTTAGTAGCTTCTGGTGGTTGTCTTCCTCGCTGGGGGAGCATGTGTTGGGTGAACCGGTATGTGTAATGGGGGTGACTTGTGTAGCGGTTAGTAAGTTATAATGCCTATTGATGGAAAAGGGCAATTAGAAAACTTCTTTTGCCGTTGCTGGGAGGTGCTCTTTTTTACAACTCACCTTTGGTTGGGGGCATCACTGGGGAGGGGTTTATTAGGGCCTTTCCTGAAGGGGAGAAGCGGCACGGTGACGGGGTGAGGAGGTGAGTTGACGCGCTGTTACATCGGCTGTTTTGCTGCTCCACCTTGCCGCCCTACAAGCGCGCCGTCATTCCGGCTGTTGCTTACTTCTGACTCTCTGGGCTTCGAAGACCTCCATTCGTTTTGGCCTTCTCAATGTCTAAAATGTAAAAAAAAAAAAAAAAAAAAAAATGCCAATAAAGGTGAGAAACGGAACGAGATTACATTTTTTTTTTTGTGTGTCCCCATTCATTATGCACACGTGAAGACGCCTCCGTGTGTACTCCTCAGTTGCATTTGCGGCGCACCCCTCCTCCGTGTTTTCCCTACCCTTCGTGAGCGAGTCAACCATCTTAGAGAGTCTGTTTTTTTCCGTGACGAGAAGGTTCACCTGATCCGATATAGCTACATTTTTCTGGTGCAACATTATATTGTTTTTTTTCAGCTCTTCTATTTCCTTCATATACCCAGAAGTGTTTTTTTCTTCCTATTTTTACGGAGGCGATAAATGAAATGACGCCATGTAATGTTATCATTCATGTGGGAGGAGTGTGTGTGGGGGGGTGCTCAACCATAGAGTTGGCAACCCCTTTGACACCACGCCGTTTAACAAGCATCTGCTAGGGGGATAAATGAAAGACACAAAAGCGCTCGCGCCACCCCAAGGCAATCGCATCGGTGGTTATACCTCTAGGGACTTGTTCAGATTTTCCATCTTCACATTCAGATCCTGTAGGCGACTCTCCAGCTCCATTTTGCTTTTTTTCTCTTCCTGGTAATAGCTGTTTATCTTAGCGGTTTCTCTTCGCAACTCGTTCTGCGATGTGGTGGAAGGTTCGCAAGTCATTTGGGTAGACCAAACAATATTTTTTTTTTTTGAGGATGAAGAGAGGACGGAAGGCTGCGCTGTTCGTTTCCACTTAGAGCTAACCTTTTCCTGCTCAGCGGCCTCCAGTTTGGCCCGTAGCGTTTCTGCTTCCTGCGAGATGGCCTATGCGTTAGATGGAAAAACGGGGTTGACGGTGTGCAAACGAATGGGAAAGGGATCACACACATGACCACGCCTCTTCGATTCATTAATAGCCCTTTTTTGCCGTTACCGGTGAGAGAGAAGCTTAAACGGATGGAGGGGCACTTACCTTTGTCTTTCTCTCGTCCACTAACTTTTTATACCGTTCGATGTCGTTGAGTAGGAGCTTGTACTGTTGTGACGGGTTGGGAGCGGCAACAGAGAAAAACACACACAAAAGGGTGAATATAATCAAATGGGGTTTTTTTTATACACAAAGTCATTCAGGGGGTAGACTAACGCAGTGATGCTTCCGCACCACCCAGAGGGGGTATATTTTTTTTTTTGCTGTATCTTATTCTCCTACCTTGTTCTTAAAAAATAAATCTACATTTTTGTACTTATCCTGTAACAGCTTTATTTCCTTCATGAGGTGTTCATTCGTTTTGATTAATTCGTTTTCATCTTTGAACTTCTTCACGGTGTCTGAGGGGAGGGCGACATCGATAGGGTGAGGGGCGACATCGATAGGGTGAGGGGCGACATCGATAGGGTGAGGGGCGACACCGATAGGGTGAGGGGCGACACCGATAGGGTGAGGGGCGACACCGATAGGGTGAGGGGCAACACCGATAGGGTGGGGAGCCCGTCACGGCAACTTCCTCACGTATATATACATGGGTATACAGACCCGCACGGGTGTCTTGTTAAACCCCTTACCAAGCTGAGCCTGGAACGCCTCAATCGTGTTCTTAAGGTCCTCCTCGAGAATATTTTTCTCGCCACGCAGCTTCTTAATCTTCTGCAGATACTTGTGGTTCAGTTTGCGATGTGTGAGCAGTTCTTTGTTCATATTTTCCAGTATAGAATTTACATCTACATTGTCAAATATATTTTTGGCTTTTTTATTTTTAAAACTTTCATTAATATTATTAAAAATATAATCATTTAAAATTTGTAAGTTCGCATGCATGTACCTCAGGATGATAGCTATTAAATCTCGGTGGCTTTTCTGGAGGCACTTGCAAACATAATATTCTGAATCGCTAGTGTGTAGAAAAAATTGGTCACTACATGTATGGGCTTGACGTAAGAATTCCACATAGGGATACACATCACTGAATTTGTAGGTCCACATCTGTGTTGTCCTACCACTTTGACTCACAAGCTTAATCTCATTTTTGTGAATGTGAAGCATGTATAAATGATCGTCCTGTTCACTCTCCACATTTGAGCTGAGGCTGGTTTCATCTACACTGGTGCAATCGTTATACCCTTCAAACCCTTTTACTCCTCTCTGCTTCACACTTGAACGAATGAGGTGATTAATTTGGTCCCCTCCATTACACGACTTGCCGACCTTATCATCAGCTCGGGTATTCTTCCGGAAAACATATATTGGGTATCTTATAATATCATTTTGTATAACTGTTTGAAGCATCTTCTTCGTCTTTTCGTTCAGACTGAATGGTCCTACTTCGGCCACTGCTACTCCACAGTACTTTGCATTAGAGGAGAGGACAGTGTTGGACCCATGGCCACTCGTTTGTTGGGGAGCACAAAGGAAATTCTTTTCCTTCAAGGATGATTCGTATGGATCTAAAGTAAAGCATTCTTTCTTAATGTTGTGGAGGTCTCTTCTTTCCTTTGTCCTACTAATATCATGCTTGTTGTTTGTTCCGGGAGTGGCTCGACTGGAAGAGCGGGACAGATCACTACCTCTATCTCCACGTTGGAAGGAACTTAACTCATGTGAAAGCACTCCCGATCCCTGTCCGTCATTACTATCGGTGAAGCTATTCTTAAACGAGGAAACGTCATTATATAGCTGAACATCACTGCAACGCGATTGGTCTGCAAATTTACTACCGACACTTCCATCACTCTCGTGCAGACTTCCTACCGAAGTCGCTACGCTTTTCGTAGGATACTTACATCTGGTTCCTTCTTTCAATTGTCCATCGTTCAGATAAGAACACTCAACACAAATTTTGAGTCCTATGTCATCACAAGTCAATTCGTATTCACTACCATACTGAGCTACTACCATCTCATGGGTGCTCTTCACATCTGAGTAACTTTTTCCCCCACCTCCAGCACTACTACAGATGGTATCAACAGATTCAATGCTGTTACCACTAGGAGAAATTGCCGAGTCGGCGAAACTTTTACTAACGTCGTTGCATTTTTTATCACAGTAGATACGTGTCCAGCGATAAACACAAGGAATCCTTTTCCTAGTATCCTTATCGTATGCATAGGCGATAATTTTATTTTCTTCGTTCTCACAAGAAAGCTCAACATGGAACCCAAAGTTGTAAGTCCCACGAAAAATTATATCTCTACTGTTGCAGGAAAAAATATCTTCATTTGAATTTTTTTTCACATAAGGTGTTTCCTTCGTGTCCTTGTTATCCTTTCTCCTCCCACTACTGAATAAATTCTTATAAGCATTTTTATTAATGACAATTTCCCCCTCGTTGATGTAGATGCTATTTTTAATATCGTCAATGCTACAAGGAGATTTACAAAATGGGTAATTTATATTTTTGGACGCTTCCTTTGCTGTGCACCTTATGTGTTCCTTCACTCCTTCTATAACACTTTTGGCTTGTTTCATTTGGCTTCCTATGATACCGTTGAAGAGTTTCTTCATGTTACTACTCTTACCATGTGACACATTTGTGTCTTCTTCCTTGTTGGTAAAAGTTTGTTTCTCCTTCGACTGGTTTTGTACTCCTACAGGGATGCTCTCCTTTTCTTCTCCTTCTTCCACATCAGTAGGAGCTACTCCCATCATCATCCCCCTCCTGCTCCTCCCTGTGCTCGCTTCCCTTTTTACTTCCTTCAGCTTGGCCATTTCCATTTTGTCTGCACACCACCGTTGCTTTGCTTTGGGGGGTGGTGCGCTAAGTTATAGTGTGCGTTTTCGTGTACCTTTCTCGTGCGAGGCGCCAATTGGGGGGGTCAATCTCGGTGTAGCGCCGTTCTTGTTCCCACCCCCTGGCACCTTTACACACTGGGAAGCCTTCGTTTACTCGTTCCGCTCACCTAAAGGTAGCATGCGCATGTGGCTCTGTACATGGCAAATTGGAAAAAACTATGCACAGACACAAAAAAAAAAAAAAAAAAAAAAAAAAAAAGTGTGATGTACTTTCTCTAGGAGCCTTCAAGTGGAGTTAAAATGGAGTCAACATTAAGCATTGAAGTGGAATTTACACTAAGCTCAAAATGGCGTTGACATAGCCGCTTAGCTAACGCTTAAGCAGGCACTGTGGGGTGTGCGGCGCGCCAAACCAAGTTAACACAACATTTGACAAGGGCTATATGCCCAGTGTGTGCATATGCCGTCAAGCACTCTGTGCCATACACACATGCATAGGAGGGGAAACAAAAAGAGAGAGAGAGGAGGCCCTCGCGCAATGAAGTCGACAAAAGGCCACCTCTCCAAACACAATGGGGGATAATCACGATTTGCAAATAAAAGGTCTGTCGTATAATTCCCCCAAGTTTTACAAATGATCCATATGGGTTTATTAATTATTGTTGCTTCTTTACACCTCGCCCCTCTTTTAAAAAGGGTAGTAAAAAAAAAAAAAAAAAAAAAAAAAAAAAAAAAAAATGACACGTGGGGAAGCGGCGATTTTGCTGAGAATTTTTTTTTGCCCCTGCAGGGTTTTAAGAGGGTCTTTAATTTTTTTGCAGTAAAATTGGGATGATGGTAGCTTTGGCGGCCATTCAGGTGGGAAGTCATGAAAGGTACGGACAAACATGAGCAACCAATTCGGATACCCATACCAAGTGAAACACACATGAGTGGGAAAAATCGTCCCCTTCCTCCAAAAAAAAAAAAAAAAGAACGGCGAGCACTGAGTGTAACACACCGCAGCCCCTCTCTCCCTGTTGACAGGCGCACAAAAAAAAAAAAAAAAGGGCGGGTGACAGAGAGGCAAAGCAGCAGTGGACACGTGTGCAAACGCATGTGCACACCCCTATCCTCTTTTCATCGTAGGTGCTTCCCGTTCTGCAGTCAGCGGGGTGAAATGAGTGTGCCTTTTTTTTTTTTTTGTACAAAACTCTATGACGAAAATGGTGCGATTTTTTTCCCCTTTTTTTTTTTTTTTTTTGTTTGTTTAAACGGCCAAGTGGGTCAGTTCATATGCTGCTCTGTCCTGCTTGTTATTGGGCCAGGACATGGCAGATAAAACAAATGGCAAAATGTTGGGTAGCTGCATGGGTAGGGGTGGACACTTGGAGTAGACCGCCACGCATTCGTCTCTAATAACACCCCCCCTCCCTGGGGGATGGCAAAGGGAACCACGATAAGGTAAAGTGAAGGCAGAACAAATAGGGGATACAACCACACAACGAGTGTTCATGTCGTTGGTATTCCTTTTGGGGGGGGTGGCCTAACGATGGCATGAATTACGACTATCCCAGCCACCACCCGTACGTCCCCGTTTTGTCCATTTTTCATCGTCCCACTGCTCGGTAAATATGCGGTCGCCTCGTTCCTATAACGTGGGTTGCGAAAAGGGCAGTGTACCCCCTGTGTGGGTGTGTGTCCATATAGGCCCCTTCTCCAATGAGTTAGCTACACATGCGCTACACAACACATTTGCTGCTTCCTTTGAAGTCTCAGCCGCGGGGGGAGCTTATACCCGGTATGTACATGGGGTGTGTAAGTTTCCGCCGCGACACGTTCTTTTACACCCACTATGCACTGGTTGCTGTTCTATCTTTTTACTGCTTTACAAAAAGGGGGGATCCTCCCCGTGAAAGGTGTTCACAAGAATGATGGGGCGGAAAAAAAAGAAAAAAGAAAAAAAAAAAAAAATGCATGCCGAAGTGGTGTCCGATGTGACATCTCCGTGCAGGTGCTACAAAGGTTGTCACGTCTCGTAACTGCTCAACGGCGCAACCGCACAACCGCACAACCGCACAACCGCACAACAGCTCACTCGATGAAGGGAATAAATTCGAGGTTGTTCATATAGGGGCGTAGCTTTTCCGGCACGACGATGCCCTCGCCGTTTTGATAATTCTCGAGGAGGCAACACAGGAACCTCTGCGCCGCCACCATGGTACCGTTCAGGAGATGCACATTGTTCCTACTCTCCGTTTGGAAATTTTTTAAAAATTCCTCATGGTCACTTCCAACCTCATCATACTCATCGTTGTGATTATTTTCATTGCACCCTTTTTTCTTAGCCTCCTCTTTCACATCACTGATTTTAACACTTGAGTCGACATACTTAACATTCAAGTTATTGCTCTGGTAGTCTGTGCAGTTGCTACAGGACACGAGTTCTCTATACTGATTGCTCGAAGGAAAGTAACCCTCAAGATCATATTTAATAGAAGCAGCGTTGTTCAGTGCCCCAGACACGATGCTAACGATTCTGTATGGAATGTTAAGAGACTGGTAAAACTCTTCACAGGTTTTCATCATTTCTTTATGAACCTTGTTGCTTGTTTGAGGGAGGGAAATGCAGAACTGTTCAATTTTATCAAATTGGTGTACTCGTAAAATACCTCTAATGTCTTTTCCGTGTGCTCCTGCTTCCTTCCTAAAGCAGGAAGAAACTCCAGCATACTTCAAGGGTAGGTACTTGGACTCAATCGTTTCATCTTTATGTAGTGCACACAGGGGCTGTTCAGACGTGGCAATGAGGAACAAGTCATCTCTGTTTATATCGTCGCTCTGGGTAGGGTTCGAAGACATAGGTGCCCCACTTGCAGTCCCTGTTGTTGTTGCTGGGGAGGTACCTCCAGAGGAAGAAGCAATTTTGTAAAGGGTCTCTTCAAAATCATCCAACTCTGCACATTCCTCCATTATATTTTTCTTCATAAAAAAAGGGGGGTATACAGGGGTGTAATTTTTGTTCACTAGGAAGTTTATTGCGTATTGCAAAATTGCATTGTGTAGGAGGAAGCCTGCTCCTGTGAGGTAATAACCCCTGTGGCCTGCCACCTGAATGCCTTTCTTGAAGTTCGCTCCTCCGATTTTCCTGAGCAAGTCAAAATGGTAGTAGTACTTCTTCCCGCCGATGCTACCATTTGGGTGGACGGCACCACCAGCGATAGAACCACAACTGGTGACCTCCTCCCTCTTGTTGTTCCCACCATCATCTTTGGGGCAGCCCTTGGGGACGCCCTTGCCGCCTTTGTTCCCTTCTGACGCTTCATCAGTAGTGATAACTTCTAACCTTTTGCACACACCCCAGGTGGTCACCACCTTGTTATTCTCCTCGTCATTCGAAGTGACCACATCCTTGTTAAGCAAATTACCGACCTTACTCAGGTACTTATTTCTTTGCTTCAGTAAATCCCTTTCTTCATTCTGTAGTTGAGGGATTTCTTCCTTCATCATTAAACTTTTTTTTTTTAAATCTTCCACATTTGCATTTTTGTCTACCTTTTTTTTTGTCCCTATTTCTTTATTCACTAAGTTAATATTTTTCTTCAACTCTTCTAATTTGAAAATACATTTCCTCCACTTTTCATCATACTCGATTACCTTATCGACGTTGTTCTCGTCATGGAACCTCTTCCTTTCTGACTCTTTTATTTTATCGGGGTTGCCCCCCTTTTCCTTCCTGAACAGGTTGATGTCCAGCACCATCCTGGGTCTGCCAGAGAGCGCGTCCGGGGTGCCACGGCGTGGGGTGCCACTCAGGGGGGAACCACGCAGCGGGGAAATACCACTCACTTGCAGGTTACCTTCGTTTACGCTTCTACGTGCTAGCGCGGCACCCCTGCAGATCCACCTGTTCATATAACACGCGGACTTGCCCCCACACCAAATGGGCAAAAAAAAAAAAAAAAAAAACTCTTGGGAAAACTGGCCCTACTTGGAACTAATCTGCCTTCTTCGCACGGACACTTTCAGCGGTGAGGAGGCAAAATCTTCTTCAACGTAACATATATAAATATATATATAAATATTTTTTTTTTTTCCCCTTTTACGTTTGAGTTAGCAAAAATGGGGAAGCGGGTAAGGAGGCACTTGGATCTTTCCCTTCCACGTGCTACTGTTCCAAGGAGCTTCTAATCCTTGTGACGGGGTTGTGGTGGGATGAAATGAGCAATTTTGTGTTTGATATTTTTTTTTTATTAACTCCTGTATTATAAGTGGGGGGCATACAACTTTGGATCTGGTACGGCATCGCACAAAGATTGTACATGTGGATACGTTTGCATATACTCACAATTATTATCTTCACAAGGGTTGAGAACAATTACCGCCCCATGCCGACTGATTTTTTCACGTTTTTACGGATCAACAGCAGGGGAAAAGAAGGGCGCTTCAAAACGTTTTCAGAATTACTATATATGTAGTGGTATGGTTATAAGTATACCTTTTCGGGGCTGGCAGAATAACTCACCCCACGCATCATGCAGAGGAACACGAAAAAAAAAAAAAAAAAAAAAAAAGGCACAAGCACAAATAAAGGGGCAAACCTGTGCTGCTAATTTGAACCTATAAATATAGCAAAACCTTGGCGAGTTTTACTCTCCCTGCGCATCCATTTTTAGCGTTTGGCCTTTTGGCCTCAAATGTAGGGGTTTAGTCACAAAAGGAAAAATGCACTTTTTTTTTTTTTCCATTTTTTCCCTTTTCGAACTGTGCGCAGATTGACTCATTTGTGAAGGAGGTCATTTCAAAAGTGCAGGTGATGAATGTTCCAGGGTTTAAGCAGAAAGCAAGATGTAGTTGTGCGTAGGAAAATAAAATGGGGCATCCCAGTGTAATGCTTGTGGGGGGGGAGGGGAAGAAGAATTCCGAATGTTATGCAGAAAAAACAAAAAAAAAAAAAAAAATGCCGTCGTGGTTGCAGGGCACTCCATTTTCGTAGTGCCTCTTTTCACATTGTTTTCTCCACTGCACACATCGCTGAGTGGCCATGCGGTGGGCTCTGCTCTGATTTGTATGACACGACTACCACCACTACCCCCGTTACATGTCACGTGTCACGCGACGTGTGTGTGTACAAGACATGAGAGCGAAGGTACCTATTGATGGCTTCAAAATTCTTCGTGTTTATGTCGAAGAACTGATTAAGTGAATTGTGATACCTAATTGTTTCATTCCCCGTAGATCCAACTCCATTTTTGGGTAAGTGGCCAGGGGGGATATGGGCCAAGTGTGCCACTCCTCTGTGATGAAGTGGGTTTAACCAGTGAACAAGGGGGGCACTTGCATCCGTGTCCCTCTTGCTGATAGGGAGTGCTCCAGGCCAATTGCTACTGTTCGCTGCAAAGGGCGTGTTCCCCCTTTTTACGTCAAGCACACCCCAACTTGTGTCGCAGTCGTTGCTGCCATATCCTCCTCTCCCCCCTGTTCCGATCGCTGAATTATTGCTAACTTGGTTCACCTCATTTGAATGGCTAGATCTGTAAAGTGGGTTAACACGGCAGCAGTTGTAAGGGATATTCATTTGGCTGCCAATTTGGTATGCGCTGCTGTCCCCCCCCTTCTCCGTTCCGCCAATAACACAGTCAGTAGCATCACCACCCCTCTTCCCACTCGAAACCTTATTAATAACCGTCCGCGTGTCGACCCCTGTGTATGCGTACTCTTCTCCCTTCCATCCCCCCACGTGTGCCTGCACAGCTTGGTCGAACATAGCCGTCACACATGTTGGACCACTCTGTTCTTTTGTAAAACTTCCAATCAAGCTACCCTTGTTGTCTCCCTCAAAATGTGAATTATATATGGTCAGAAATTTTTTAAAATTATCCACCCGCTCTTTATCGTATATACTTCTATAAGGTTCATCGTCCATGAGGATCTTCTCCCCCAAATCAACAACAACCCCCTTGTTCCGGTTCTGTGAAATGGGGAACTCGTATGTATTATCCCTCCCCTTGGACATTTCCAAACATGTGCGTTCATTCTGCTGCTCCTCTATGTAATGGTCATCGTCCCTGGTGCAGTTAGCCATTTGATTCGTTTCCCCTTCTGAGCCCTCTTCCCCATTCGCCGCTCCACCAACCCGGTGGTAATAATACCTATGCTTGCATTTAGACCGAATCGTGTCATAACGTAAATATGGATAATTCTTCCTAACTGCACGTGTCATCTTAAGCTTGTCTTTTCTCTCCCAGGAGGAGTTGCTCGATGTGGTTGATCTCTTTCGACCAGTTCGCTTCCTCTTTGGCACGCTACTACCTTGGCTATACGCTCCCCTTTTACACCCCCAGAGGAGAGAGGAACAATTCATTTCGCCAGTTAGAATTCTATTCAAATCGCCGCAACAGTTGAATGGTAGCTTGTAACATGTGTTCTTCCCTCTGCTAATCGAATGGGCAGAAAAGCCATCCTTTGGAAGGGTCTTCTCCTTCTCCTTCCAGAAAAGGCTATTCCATTGGGGAGCTGCTGTCTCCATTTGGCTGCCGCTATTCAGAGCTTGGTCATTTTGCGTATCCCTATTTTCCCCGTTTTGCTTTCCCTGGTCAGTCCAATCGTCGCACCGTTGGGGTGTTTTCTCGAAAGGCTGCCCTCCATCGTACGCATCCGGGGCGCACTCCTCGAAATAGGTCTGGTAGATACACTCCTTAAGCTGACTGCACAAGGATAAATAATTTTCCTCCGAGAGAGTTACCCTGGGGGGGAACACACCATTGGATTCTTTTTTTTCCACTTGGGTTGGTGGCCACATGCGGCTTCTGCTGACAACAGGTCTTCCCTCCGACTCGGCCATCATATTGCTGTAGAAGTAGTGGTAGTAGGGGTAGGTCTCCTTGGGGATGCGGGTGCACCTCTCGCTTCCAAATCGTAAGCTACTCCTACCACTTCGATCATTGCGATCACTGCGGTTCATTATGTTACCCCTCCCAAGTGTGCCGTTTGTCGCCACCCTCTCCTCCCTCCTCAACAGCTCCAGAAACGTACGATTGCTTACAATGGTGTTAATCTTTTTGTCCTTCGTTCGTACTTTGCTCTTCTTAACCTTTTCTCCCTCTCCAGTTTGCGCGCATTGGGCATCCCTGCTCACAACGTCATCTGGCTTCTCCACGCCCTGCATATCACTCGTGTCTACGCTTTTGTCTTCGTACTGCTTTGGTTCTTTTTCCTGCTTCTCCACCAACTGGTTAAAATCCAACGTGATGACGCGTCCGTCCCCCTCATCAGCCAGCTCCGAAGAAGTGGCAACCCCTTGCTGCTCAAGGCTAAGCATGCGCGCCTGATGCTCACTTATCCTTTCCTCCAAACGAATCCACCTCTTAATAGAAAATTTTCCCCTCTTGTGCCGCTTAAAAGATCTCGATTTTAAAGTCTTCATGTACCTCATCTCAGTTTTCATTTTATTGTATAGCCTTCTCAAGTTATGCCTCATCTTCCTTAGTTCATGTGATTCCTTCGATTGATCATTTTCTTCAATCAGTCTCTCCAAATAGGTAACCCTATTTCTCATGAGCATAATTTCGTCCAGGTATTCTGCATTTTTTAACTCAAGCTCGTTAACATAAGACAATTTATCCTTCAACATTTCTATAGTGTCATTTAGTTTTTTGTTTTCCTGATTTTTTTGCATCACCTGAGATTTTAATTCCCTGATTTCTTCATATTGAACATCCCCAAAGTCGAGGGACTCCTTAATTTTCTGCTTTAGTAATTTGTTCCTATCATCTAGGGTGTTCATGTAGTACTCATACCTGTCAATCAACTTTGGCACATAATCATGAAGCAGGCAATTTATAATTTTAATTATGCTGTCTATGGAGCTGATGCCGTTGGTCGTGGCAGTGCTGCTGCTCTTGTTGCTGCTCTTGTTACCTGTCCTCTTCGACTTCTCCACCGTCCCTTCCAAGCTTTCTATCATTTTCTTATAATATTCAATGTTCTTTTTATTGTCACTTAAAAATTTGAAACGACGGAAACTTTTGGAGCTACCCAGAAAGGTACTATTGGCAGTAGTGGTAGTAGCAGCCGTAGCAGCCGTAGCAGTCGTGGTAGGAACAGCTACTTCCTTCGACCTCTTTGTCCCCAAATCTTTGGAACTCTTTGTGCTTATAGCATGATTCATGTACATACAGCCAATGTCGAAGGAGGACGTGTTCTGCTTCTTGTTCAATCTATTCGCTAGTCCTTCTTGAAAGAAATAAAAATTGTCAAATGTGTTTTTGGAAGAACTTATCTGATGATATTTGGAAAAGGTTTCTTCTCGTGTTAGGAAAGAACTTTTGGAATCAAATAGGGGAGTATATCCTGAGAAGCTGTTCTTAATTTCGATGCGTTCATCGTGTGCTTTCTTTTTCACTCCTGTACTTGTATGTTCCTTTGTGGATTCCCCCATGCCTTTGCCCACTCCGCTACCACCTCTGTCTTTTTCTTCATCCCCCCTTCCCCTGCCACCTTTCCTCATTTTCCTTTTCCCGTGGGTCGTTCCCCTCCGCAGGGAAAGCGCTTGCTTTATGCTCATAACCTCCGAATTGTACGTCTTTATCATATGGGTCTTCATGTTCACTGTGCCGCTGCCCTTACCAGCACCCTTTTTTGCCCCACTTCTCCTTAGCACCCGCCCACTTTTCGACCCCTTTTCCAACCTTTTGTATATACTGAGGAGGTGCAAGTCGCATTCCATGATTTCATTTTTCATTGCCTCCATTCTGCTTTCCTTGGACTGTTTTTTCTTCTTAATTTCTACGCTGCTAGTGTCACTCTTTGCCGTTCTCACTTCTTCTTCATCATTCAATGATACACCTTCGTCCATACTTCCCCCGACCACCTCTCTCTTCCTTCCATCGTTCCCCAACTTAACGATTTTCTTACCACTTCTTCTGTCGAAATAATCAGACAAAGTACGCAAATTCCCCTGTGTCTGTGATCTTGTCAACTGGCTGCCATAAGAAGTGGCGAAATCTGCGTGTGTTATGTCGTACTTGGATTCGCTTGATAATTTAGAAATATTTTCAGCAGAATTTTCCTTGAAGCTTTTACTACCGTTTGTTTTTTCATCTGTGAATATTCCCGAGTTGAATGTTTCGTCTTTTTCATCCAGACTACTCAGGGAGAGCAGTTTCTTATTTTTCTCTCTACATTTTTTGACGAAAAACTGCACGTTCTTTACTAGGTTCTTTAGTTTTCTAGACTTCCCCATTTTGAGGATAGTGCCGCGCGTTCTATGTACTATAAGCACCTGTGTGAGCCGGGTGAACGTCTCCACATGTGCCTTGCAAGGTAGACTGGCGCGCCAACTGCAACTACAAAACTGAAACGGCCCCACGACGGTGACACATCTCAACAAGGATATTTTGGAGCACCACCGACAAAAAAGTTTGCCAACCTCTTTGCAAAAATAAAATACCTCTTAAATGCGAAATATTTGATGGGCACTTAAAAGGAATGACACTGGTAGGATCTCCCCATCTGCATTGACAATGATTAGCCTTTAGAGAATTGCTTCATACGCTGTCGGCCGCGCAAAAGCTGCAATTTATTTTAAAGGTCTGTTTAGTTATGTCTAGGGAAAAAATGCAAAGCATGTGCGGTATCACAGACAGGCGTAAAAGCCAATGACAAAAGAGGGGGGGATTAAAAAACGTGAGAACAAAAATAATGGAAAAATTGATGAAAGGCTAAAAACTAAAACAACAAAAAAAAAAAAAAAAGGGGGGGAAATAACCACGCATGGATTGGAACATGTAAGATGAAAAAAGGTGGACAAAGGGGTGCAACCTTAAATGGACTCAAAAAATAAAGAACGCGAAAAAAAATTTAAACATACAGCAGTATATTTCCTTTTCTTTTTTTTTTTTCCTATCACTGTCTGTAGGGGTAAATATCGCGTTGTTCGCACAAAAGGGGGATTAAAAAAAAAAAAACATACACAAGGGTTGCTATTCGTACATGTACATATACACATAAACACGCAAACACACATATATACACCCATATGCCACGTTCAAAACTGTAAAAGCAAAAGCCCCCGCCGTTGCAGCATGCTGGTGTACACATAAGGAAGAGTAAAACTATCACGATGGTGAAGAACAACATTCCCTTCCTGGCAAAAACGCTAAAACCAAATACAAGCTGCTTGAACGAAGGAGCCAATTTTGTTCTACATTTATGCTCAGCGAAACCGGTTGATTAATTCCCCTGTTTTTTTTTTTTTTTTTTTTTTTTTTTTTTTTTTTTTTTTGCACACTAAAATGGAACAACATAGCTATTCGTGTTGGAAAATTTTTCTGAACGTTCATACATTTTTTGCTTTTTTTCTTTTTTGCACACATTTAAAAATGTTAAAAAAAAAAAGCCAAAACTATGCTATTAACTGGTGCATTTAAGAATTGAGGCGCTTCTCCTCTCTTTATTGAATTTTGTTCTATTTGTTGTAGCTATTTAGGGGTCCATCCCTTACCGCCATACTTTGTTACCATCCTTGTGGCAATTTTTGTTTTCCTACTGTCTTATTTTTTTTTTTTTTTTTTGTTCATAATTTCTAGTAAAAAAAAAAAAATTCTGAACAGGCAATCACATTTAGCTCACTTGGTACTTCTTTTCCTCGTCAATTAGCTCGTTGGCCATCATCTGAGGGAAAAATTAAAAAAATAAAAGTCCTCGCGCAAATGTGCTACATGGCGTCCACACTTTTACGTTTACGTTGACTATAGGTCGTGTGGTCAGTTGGACGGGACTATACGTAGGGGTACATTTTCATGTAGGCTCAATCTACATAGACATAACGGCCACATGTATGTGCAATTTTTATAACACTCACCATGGCCGCTACAAAGCAACTTTTCTCAGCTGCGTTTATTTTCTCCTTGGTATAATTCAAGCTGTCTTCAATTAAATCGTTCCTCTGTGTGTCTTCTTCTATGAGGGCCGTTAACACTTCATTGTAAATGGCGTCATCGTCATTGCTCTGGGTGGGGGGACGAAAGGGAGAAAGTTGCAATTGTGTATTATTTGCAGCAAATGGGATTAAGCTGCACTGAATTAAGCTATGCACAGTGAACACCGTCACATATGTTAACAAAGTGCGACCGAAGAAGGGCACCCTCCAAATGAGCATAAGCGTGTGCAAAAAAAAAAAAAAAAAAAAAAAAAGCAAACACATGTAACAAGTTCACGTTCTCTCTGTTGTGTCAACTGCCCATACATTTGGAATGTCCTTGACGTGTCTTCTTATGAGCATGTTTTCTATAATTTTCGATTCCGTCATCCTGTCAGAGGGGGGGGGAGGCAGTAAGTTGAAAACGTAAAAAAAAATGTGGAACAACACAAAGGCACATATATCACACATATGCACTCCAATTAATAACCGCAAAAAGTGACAAGTCAGCGATAACACAAACATACCACATGGTCAGGTAACCAAACTGATGCATCCTTGCGTGAATTAACTCTGCTTTCTCCAACATTTGTTCTTTGATGTCTTTTGGGGATTTAATAATCTGCAAATGAGGGGAAAACATATTTTGCAGAAATGTATAAAACGAATGTGGGTATGATGCAAAACGAGCGAATGTGCACAGATGCGCGAACTTACTTGATCAATTTTATTGATGATGTCATTGGGTTTGTACTCATCCAGTTTGTTTCCCTTTCCGCTGCAGGGGGGGGAGTAGGCATGTTCATATGAGTATACGTACATGTACAACATGTAGACGCACGTTTGCAAGCGCGCGTGCATGTGCAGGGAAGAGGGAGATGAAGGGCAAAAACACGGATGACACGGCATTGAGCTTTTTATGGGTAAAGTACTTGTGGTAAAGCAAAAAGGTCGGGGTGCCCCTGGAGATTATCATGTTGGGCGCGTAGTCGTTCTTCTCTATATTGTACTTCTTCAGCTTCAGCTGAATCTGCAAAGGGTGCGGTGGGGAGTACGGGGGACATAATACACATTAAAGGGTTACATAGGTGGGGCGGATAAGAAGCAGGGTACAGGCAGCAGGGTAAAAGGTGCATATCGCACATCCTTACGTTGTTCTCCTTAAACAGTTTGTGTAGGGTATTTATAAAAGGCTTGTACAAGAAGCACAAGAAACATGTGTTCTCGAACAGAACTAGAAGTATTTCGTTTCTCTTCGAGTCTTCAATGATCTGCGGGAGGAAAAGGGCGCGTTTTCGTGAGCTTTCCGCTGTGAAAGGCTAAATATTTACTATTTACGGGGTGCCCGCAGGATTAGGGTTATATTCCCCTACGCGCCCACTGGGGAGTCCGTTTCCCCACTCGTACCTCCTTCTCAAATGTGTCATGCGTCACGCAGACGGGGAAGTTTCCGTTATTTCCCTCATTAATTTTCTGGTAGTCTTCGCTGACTGGAGTGAAAAATGGCTCGAAGATATCCTTAACCGAGTCGACACTTAACTCCTCCTTGGTGATGTTCCTCCTGCGCCGCCCTTTGTACAAATAGCAAGCGTAATCTTTGCTTTCCTCATGATAAGTATACAAAAAATTAATATACTTCAGATTTAATTTTTCAATTTCTTTTTTAATTTCTTGGATTTTGTTTTTCTCTTCCTTGAGTTTATTTTTATCTAAAACGAACAACACGATGTTGTCTAGCTTGTCGAAAATATCGTCCGATATTTCTTTCATTTCGCTCAGGAAATAAGTGACGTCCCTTTTTGCGTTCCATTTAAGGGTAGCATATCCGAACACACCCGAAAAAATTAAAGCACATAAGAGGATTTTTTTTTTCCTCCTATTGGACATATTATTGTCTTGTTGGTACTCGGTGAAGGTCCCTACACCTCTCTGTGCACTTTTGAAAATTTTTATCTTTTCATTTTTCCCATGTTTGGTAAAGGGGTGATAGAAGTGTCCCCCCCCTGCTGTTGTATGCGTGTAGTTAAAGTGGGAGACCTTCCTTTTGTTACTTACAAATGTAAGCTTCCCCCTGTTCAGGTTAGGTATTTTATTACTCCATCCTTTGTTCTGTGCCCAAAGAGGGGAGTTGATGCCAGAGACTGCTGCGCGCGTAGCTGCGCGTGTGCTGTTCATATGCATCATGTTTCTTTTCGCCTGACGTTGTGAATTTGAATTTGGAGGCTTAGCATGTCGTTAGATTTCACATCACAAATATCAGCTCTCAAAATCCTCAACCCTTCGCGGGGAAACATTTCGACAACCTCTCAATGTTACTGCATGAAAAAAGTCGCCGCTCCAGGGAGCTACTTCGCAGAAGTGTGAGACCTTTCAATGGGGCCCATCTGGTGAACGTGCGAATTTGACATACTCGTCAATCACATCGGAAATTATTTTATTTTATTTTTTTTTTTTTACAGCATAAAACTGCGCATATTTTGGAACCCGTTTTCAACGTCGTTATTTTCTTTTCTTTTTTTTTTTTTTTTTTTTTTTTTCTGGTCAGGAAAACGGGAACTCGTTTTGCACTCTTCATGACCGCGGTTAACTCCAGTATGCTTCCACGCTGCGAGTGTTTATCAACATCTTCGATTTTTTTTTTTTTTTTTTTTTTTTTTCTACTTGGTTTGGTTTTCCTTGTTATAATTTCGCCACTGATGTGGATGGCCTTTCGCCTGCTTTTCCCCCCGCACCTCCTCGGTTCAGCTACATCGGTCAGGAAGTTCAATAAAAATATCCCTCCCCAAAAAAAGAGCATTCTGAACAAGCGAATGAGACCTTCCCCGTAGACTTAACACCATGTTCGCAATTTTAAGAGGTACACTTTGAACAAATGGCTAAGTGTATGCCCACAGCGCTGAGGGTTACCATTTTTGCACCAAGCGGGTTGAACACAACATTTACGACACAGTTGTGCCCCCATTTGTTACGCCTCCCCACAATTGAAGAGGTGTGATGAATGAGAAGAATGTGTTTGGTGAAACAACATTTGTAAAGTGTAGGGACCAAAATGGGGAACTATAGAATATGTGTGTGGAACGTGCCCCGTATCTCGATTGTGCAGTTCGTCTACATTTTCACCCGTTTGACGAAATTGCCAAAAGCGGGCACTGATTTTAAGGGGACGCTAACTACGAGCATATTTTCCTCTTTTTTTGTAACACCTCGAGAGGAAAAAAGGGATACACATTTTGTCGCGCATGTATAAATTTGTTCATTTTCAAATGAAGCGGTTAAGTTAGCACCGTGGCGTGTGTAATGACCGATTGGGGAGGAAAAAAGATGAAAATTGATTATGGTTCACCTCCGCATTGTTAGCGACTCGCGACAAAAATCGTGCACGATGCGAATGAATCATCCCGTGTGATGTTTTAAATGATCGTGAGGCTAACCCGCCCCACGTCCATTAAGTATATTTGTATTTTCCCTTTTTTTTTTTTTTTTTTTTTTTTGGTAAGCCCTTCATTTTAGTATTAGCACGGCGGACACATTTCGTTCAATCCATTTTTCCTTCCTCTCCTTGGAGTTTAGCTTTAAGTAGAATATGGGTTCGTTGTTGTTTAGGCGGTTATCTGCGGGGGAGGGGTGTGCAAAGGGGAGGCGTTCAAGTGACGCGTGCAGATGAAACGTGCAGGTGAGTTGCACATGAGAGAGGGGAATGCTGTCCTCTTCTCTTACCCGTTTTGTGCATATTTTTGTATATGGGGCACTTGAAGATGTAGAAGTTGGATCCGTGCATGCGGCCTTTGGTGGGAACAGCGGCAGGTTTGGCAGGCCTGGAGAGGGGCTTCGCTACGGGTGAGCTCTTGGTGAGGAAGTACACCTTGATGTACGGCATGGGGCAGTAGAGGTACTTTCTTGTGGACTCCTTTATGATCATATTTGTGGCGTCAAACATGGCGCCCTCGATGAAGAGGCCGCCCACGAAGTACCCATCCTCCTTGATGTCTTCCTCGTTGAAGTAGGAGGAAATTTCGTACTTGAGCTTCACGTTGTTTACGTCGATCTTCGCTTCTGTGCAAATTTTCTGGCGGATGGCCAGCATAAGGCTCTGCGGGGAGAGGGGGAAGTTGATGCGGCGACGTGAAGCGGCAACGTGAAGTGGTCAAGCGAATGACAAAAAAAAAAAAAAGGGACGGCAAAAAGACGCCCCCTTAGCTTCTCTTCACTAGTGGACCCACCCTTGGGGACATGAAGGCGGCCAAGTTGAAGACGCGATTGTCCAAGTGGGAAATGTATTTGTTGAGGTAGGAAACCTTAAGGCTAATCAATTTGGCGTAGTGAAAAATCTGCAAATTTGTAAAAAACGAACAAGCAATCCATCTCTTAGGCACACACAAATTAGAAATAGAATTGTACGTGTGAGAAATTTTAGAAAAGTTCATTTCCTTCCCCTTTACAAAATTAATTATTTTTGTCAAGTCATCATATATGGTCCTTAGGAGATTATTATATTTGTCTATTTCCATTTTGAGGAAGGTAATGATGGAGCAACTTAAATTGTTCATGAAGCAGTCGTTTAGCTTATTTGCATCTATGAATGGAGGAAGGAGCTGGGTCAAGACATGGATGATGGAAAAGATATGCATATCCGACTTGTCCTTTTTCACATTATTGTATTCTAGCTTTTCCAGATTTTTCAAAATTTTTAAATTGTAATTTTGTAAATATAATGTATTTAGAGAGGGGTGTAAATTGAAAATAGAAAAATCGGTTATAAAATTCAAGGACTTCACATACCTTAGAAAAAGATTCTTATTTGAACTGTGAGGACAGTAGTAGTAGTTGTTGAACTTGTACTCATTGTTAGAGTAAATGACCTTTTCATTTATATACTTGTTCAGAATAATGTTAAAGCATCTCTGGTCCGTTACATCTATTATAGTACCACCATAAATAATATTTCCAATAAGGTAAAGCAAAAGATTAATGTCTATATTTTTATTTCTGAAAAATTTGATGATATTTTCCTTGGACAATTTTAGCTCTATATCTGTGAACTCATAACAGTTATTAAATCCTTTGCTTTTGAATTTGCTTCTCTCTTGTATGAGTGCGTGGAAGAAACAGAGGCTGAAGTGAAGTTTGTTCATCAGGATGTTTTCGTTTTCGCTTCTTTTTTCGCCCCTTTTTTTGTTCCTTTTTTGGTTCTTCTCGTTTCTTCTTTTAAGTAGATCCTTATCTTTTTTTTCCCCTCCTCTGCTTGGTGATCCTTCTGGGTTATCCTTTTCGCCCCACTTGGCGCCAACATCGAGGATGCCTTTGCGCGGGGTTCGACATTTGGGGGGCCGTCCACCGTGCGGACCGGACGGTAGGCGATTCTCCTTGTCCTCCTCCCCGTCACCATCATGGTCATCCTCCTCTTCTTCCTCTTCCTCCTCCTCATCGTCCTCCTCTGCTTCGTCTTCTTCCTCTTCCTCTTCTTCTCCGTCTTCCTCATCATCTTCCCCCTCCTCTTGCGCTACGTTGGTGTAAATGTTGAGGAGCCCTGACTTCAAATTGTGTACATTCTCGAAGGTGATCTTCACACAGAGCTTGAGGAGGTAATCGGGGAAGGACTTCACAGAGCTGGTGCTGATCCATATTCTGAAATCTGGGTTGGAGTACTGGATGTTGCAGGCCTCGATATATTTTTCAATCTCCAGAATCAGATGTATATTTAGGTGAGCATTCTCGATTAGTACCCAGAACCCATTTTTAATGGAATCATTTAAGATCTGCAACAAGTAGTTCTTGTCGTTTTTGTTATAAATGATTAAATTGTTTTTTCCAGTAATTTTTTCACTGAGCATCATTATTTCACTAGCTGTGCTTAGCCGGTGTTCAGAAAGAATTAGGATCAATTTATTCTGCGACGAGTGTTCGTAACACTTGTACAGATCCTTCGCGTAGCTCTGAGAACCTATATTCAAGCACGCATCTACATAGTTGTTCATGTTAAGTTTAAGAATGTCAAATCGGAAAATTTTAAAAATAATTAATTTTTCAAAGTTTGTTAGGAGATGCTTTAAGTCCTTGTGTTGTAATATTGTGTGGTCTGTCTTGATGGTTCTGAATAGGTGTTCATACTCGTTGAAGGCCTTTTTAAAAAAGAAAAAATATTTTTCCTTCCTGATTAGCTTCTTCACGCTCATGTACTCCTTCGCGCTTAGCCAAGACAGATTCTTCGTTTCGAAGTTGAAGGTAAATTGGGCCTCCCCGTTGTTGTTGGTACAATGACCAGTGGCGGCACGCCCCTCCTCTGCGTCAGCCCCCTGGAGTAACACATTCCCTTCGCAGGAATTCAAAAAATCATCCTTTTCGCTCCTCTTCGGGAGTAGGAGGTATTCCTCCACGGTACCACTCACCATATGGCTAACATGCATTGCTGCAGTCTGTTCTCCCCCCCTTTTCCTCTGAGGGTCAGCAGTCTGAACATTGCTCGAGTCTTCCTCCGATACCTGCGGGTCGCATCCATCCGACTCGAGGCTGTGAAGAGACACGTCGTCTACAAGCGTTTGTAGGTCTTCCTGTTCGCTGAGTCCATCCATATCGTCTTCCGAAGTAGCGGCTTCTTCCCCTCTAGCACTATCATCACATGTTTCCTTCAGAACGGAAGAAGAGGAGTCCACCAATACATTACTGTGTCCCAACAGCTTGTCAACAATTGGCTTATTGTTCTTCTTAGATTGAACCTTTCTGAATACCTCATTTCGAATTTCATCCCCCTTAGGGTAATCGTCATACACGAAGAAATAATAATCGTCGTAGTCTATTTCGCCTTTGTATATGTTTATCATGCACACAAGGTAGAAAAAGAAAATTTGTTGGTGCTTCTCTGAGAGGGTCCTCGATATTTCGTAGTGGATTTTCCTAGTAAAGATGTTTAGTATGTCTTTTTTTCTTTTATCTAGCAATTTGTTCTCCTCTGATTTGTCAATACTAATGTTTAGGAGTTGTACAAAGGATAAAATGGAAAAATTATACATCGGGTTCAAAGTGACTAAGTTATTAATGCAGTGATAAATAACCGAGATGTGCTCCGACATGCTCATGTAATTTTTTCTAATTTTTATAATTTCAAATTTATTCATTTTGTACTCTTTCATTTTTTTTTTATTTTTTAAGTATATTTTGTTGGCGTTCTCAAAACTGATCACAATATCATCATCACTTAGAATGTCTTCCTTGTAATTTAAAATGTGTAGAATTTCTTCCTCTTGCTTTACCATTTGTTTGTTGAGGTCATGGATTTGATGAATGAGTGCACTTCTATTTTCATGAACAGGTCGGAACAGCTTGTCGATGAGGTTGGTTAGGAAATACTCCTCCAGTATGTCTAGGTTTATATTGAAGTCGATTACGTTGAGATGATTTTGTGTGTTGTCGTCGAATTTGGTGCTTCCATATACGATGAAGTAAATGTTGAAGGCGCTGTCCACTGTGATTATTTTATTGTTGAAGTTGACGCAGTTATTTTGGGTCAGCGTTCCGCTCACTGGGGGTGTGCTCGCCCTAATCGGTTCATCCTCACGGGTCACTCCTTGCGTTGCGTTCACTGCCTCTACTTTCATCGTTTTGTCTGATGTTTTCACTCCGTCTTCTGCTGTCCCTTTGTCTGATTCATTCACTCCCTTTCCTTCCATCACTTTTTCTGATGCGTTCACTCCCTCTGCTTCTTTTTTCCCGCTTTCCGGGGGGAGACACTCGTCCGAAGCCGACTGGCGGTGACGCGCAACCTGGGTTCCATTACCACCCCCCCGATCGTGTCCAAAGGTGAGGAGAGTTTTCCCAATTTTGTAATTAAATAGCGCATTGAACAGCACACTGGAGTCGTCGTCGTAGTGGGTGAAAAGGATAACGTTTCCGAGCTGCATGCACCTTTCAATTTTGTCTACAAAGTTGGAGCTGTTATTTCGCAGGATCTCCACGTCCCTCTTCTTATGGTAAATTTTTTTTAAAAAGTTGGTGACGATGAAATGCGGGTCTATGAGCAAGTTGTACTTAATGCTGTTATTCATGATTACGATATTTTCAAAGTAGAACCCGCTGTTAGTCAGTCCATAAGAGACCCACTTCTCAATGTTAATTTTGGACTCCAAGAAGCTATAAATGGAAATATCTTTGGTATAATTAATATTGTATCGGTTTAAAATTGCCTGCACTTTTAACTTAATAACCTTTCTGTACTCGTATGAAAAGTAGGACATATAGTTGATGAGAGATGAAACGATGATGCAGTCTCCGATTAGTAGATCCCTTTTTTTTTTTAAGTTTTTTTTTTTGTTGTTCCATTTTATTTCTTGTTCCAGAAGACAAGAGAGGATCTTTTTGGACCTTTGAATTTTCTGTTTTATATTTTCTATTTTTTCTACTAGTTCATTTTGCTTGATGGTAATTTCTTCCTTTTCCTTTTCGATGGTACACAAATTGTTGTTGACGATACTTAGCTCTTGTTTACATGCATCCAGGTAGCTGAGTTCTTTGTTTATTTCGTTTTCTAATGTCAGCACTTCCTCCTTCTTAGGTTTCAGCTCCTTGTTAATGATGAAGTAATGGTAAATGGCAAGAATCCATTGGCACATGGTTTCGCATGCCTTAGACGCCTTTCTTACAAACTTGGGGTTAAAATTTTTATTCTTAATGAGTGGAGTAATTTTTGTAATCATTTCTTCTTCAATTAAATTTTTATCGTAATTTTTCAAATTGTCTAGAAAAACTTTGGAGTCTCTAAAAATGGTTTTCTGTGCTAAGATCCAATAGTTGAGTGTTTTGGGTCTGATTAATTTTCCTTGTAGGTACTTTTCGTCTTCCTTTAGAAATGTTAAGATGCACTGCATGACCATGACAACAATCGACGGGGGGTTAACAAATGCTTTCAACTCTCTGAGGTGCTCTACTTTCAATTTGTTTAAATTATTTAGGGAGTCATTAAGCAGAGCAAAACTTTTAGTTATTTCTTCGTTCACTTCATTTTTTAAATGTGTGATGTTTTTTATCTTTGTCTTCATTTCGCATTCTTTTTTCTTAATTTCCGTTTGTTTGATGTATGCTTCTTTAGATTCTCTCTCCATTTGATTTACCTTTTTCTTCATTTCTATGTTTGTGCTGTTTAGTACTGGTTGCATGTTGAGTAGGTAGTTCTTCATCGTTTTTATGTCCTGCTCACACTTGTGTAGTTTATTGAGAGCCTTTCTGTATAGGTCGATATTTTTGTCGAACTCCTTCCTCTTCATGTTGTAGAAGTAGTCAAAGTAGTGGAGGAAGTGGACGTACTTGTTCGAGTTCACGCACACGTACACCTGCTTCTCCTCTTGGTACTTCTTAGCCAGGTGAATCACTTCCTTGTGGATCCGGATGAACACCTTGTCTTGGACGACTCCTTCGAGGCACTTGAGGTCCTGGTCCGGGTTCACCACCTCGAGGTCGATGGAGGGCAGCGGCCGCGGGGGGGTAGCGATGGAGGTGGGGTCGTCTATAGACTTGGCTGGGTCGTCTGTGGGAGCTGAAGCGTCTACCGTTTTGGCTGAGTCCTCTGTAGACTTATCCGGGCCGTCTACCGTTTTAGCTGGGCCGTCTACAGACTTATCCACATCGCCTACAGGCTGAACCAACTTCTCCACCCTTCTGACGGGATTGTCCCCCCTCTTGGCGTCCGTGTCTGTGAAGAAGTTCTTGGTGATGACGTGGAGACCCTCGTTGTTGTCCTCCTCGAAGTAGATGATACGTGAGTTCTTTAGTATGTATGGAAATTTGAGGATGGCGTCTGAGCTGTTGGCCGAAATGTTAAGGCTTACGTGAAAGCACTTTCGAATGGTTTTTTTGTAAATGCTATAAATGTTTGTTAAATTCCTAACGACGTGTTCCTCTTCACATTTATTTTTACACTCACTGTATATTTTTTTTAAGTTTTCTTCATTGTAGAGGAGGTAGCTATCTCCATAATTGTAAATGTTATTAAGATTTTCGAGGACAAAATCAAGGCTGCTATTTTCATCATTAAGATAGTAGACACATTGTTTTTCATAAATTCCACAATCGAAAAGGCACCTATTAATTTCTTCTACAAATTGGGAGGCCTTACTATTCTTATTCAGTTCAGACACAACAAGAGTTTTGTTAATTATAAATGAGCAAATTTTATTTACCTTTCTCTTCACAGCATCATTGATGCCAATGCAAAGTATGTGTGAATTTTCACTCATAAAAGTTTTGGTTATTTTGCAAATGTAAATTAGTACATTATCGAAGAGGATTATATTAACCTTCTCGCTGTTACCATATTCGGATATATATGCGTAGACACAATTGTAGAGGTCATTAAAATCGGAAACCTGTTCATATACATTTTGATACAAATTTAAAAAGTTACAAAAGAGAAGACCATTATCGTACTGATTGATAACGTTTGCATATTCTTGCTGTGGAAAATATTTTTTAAAATTTGTCTTAACAATTTGTTCACATTTTTTTTTAGCATTTTTTGAAAAAAAACTTTCCTCATAAAGGGCTTTATTTTCGTAGAGAAAATATAAGAGCATTTGTTCCTTTCGAATGTTGATATTTTTGGACAAATAATTTACACACTTGTAAATATCTTTCATATTATTTATATTAAAGGAGTGAAGAAAAATTTCCTTCCCTTCTCGATCTTCTACATTGTACAGGTAGTAATTATGTTTCATTCCTTTAACTCCTTTGTAGATATCAATTTGCATCTGGACCAAATCGGTAGCTAAACTTTTTATATTAATGTCGTAAATGCTAAACATGTTTCTGAGGCTACAAAAAAATATATCAAAAAGTTCTTTGTACTTGTAATTGTTATAATACATAATGTTGAAATTGTTAAACAGTCTAGCACTATGCGTTGTGTTCGTATATGCATTATTCATAGTTGCTAAACAGGTTAAATCTTCCACATACTTAACCCCTAAATTTTGATCTATGAAAAATTTATAATTAAATAGCATTCGTAAAAATTCATGTGAAGATAAGTAATGACTCCTTTTTACAGAACCCACTTCTGTTTCTATATTTATATCATCAATGTAGAAAACACAGATCCTATTATTGGTTGTGCCATAAAAGTTGCTCCTCCTTTTGGTTAATTTCGACTCGATGTAATTCCTCACGTGGTTACTCGTAGTGCTATATGAGAAATAAAAATCGACCGTGAAAAATTTATCCTTTGCCATCACCTTGTTTAGGTAATAATCCACAGTGAGCGTTTTTCCTATATTGCTACAACCAGAAATGATAATACTCTTTTTGTTTTTCATGAACACATCTATATTGTAAAGCATAGATAAGTGCTTTTTCTGTTTGATCAAAATTTCTGTGTTGCTCAGGCACTCGTCCATCAGGGTGAACTTGTTTTCTTTATTGTTTAGGTGACTCATCACGTTCTTTTCATATTTGAAGTAAAAGTCGAACAGGTTTATCCTTAGCTGTGCTTCTGCGTGAGGGGCGGAGGTTCTGTTTTTTGGAGACTCATCCAGGTGGGTGCTGCTGCGCCTACCACCACTTCTGCCTCCCCGGCCCTCCGCCAAACCGTACACATCGTCGTAGTAACTCACGCTTTGCAACACGTCGTCCACGCTACCCGGGGCGTGCTCATTAAGGTACTTCTTCCTTTTGCGCCCGCCCCAGCGCTTCAAGTACCTCTCGTCGTTGCTCGAGTTCGAGTCGGAGCTGCAGTTCCCGTAGCACTTGCCAAACAGCCACCCGTTCTCGCCCTCGCCCAGCCGCGGGTCGTAGCTCTTGAACAGATTTCTACACTTGCGAGTGGTGCGCAGGTAGTAGTCATACATGCTATTGACGTTTTCGTAGTGATGCTCGATGGGTTCGTTCCGCTCGTTGTATATGTCTACGTCGGAGGAAGCGTCGCTACAATCACTTGTGTAATCGCTGCTGTGGCCGGTGTCAACGTTATCCTCGTTGTTGCTGATAAAGGGGGTTTCCTCCCCTTGCCTATCCACACGGCCGAGCGAATCTGCCAAAATGCTGTCCGTATGGGGGGTGTCCGGAACGGCGGCTGAGGGCCCGCTGCCCTCTTTGCACTGGCGAACATCTATCAATCTGCCGTCGAGTGTCTCAAAGGTTAACTTCAAATTATGTCTCACAATTTGCTTGCAAAGGAAATCATTAAATATTTTTCGGCCCCTTTTGTATGTATTAGAACCCACACTCCAAATTAAAGAATACACAAAGATAGATGTGATGTATTTCTGATAACTCTCATTTTTACTAGCATCATTAATCTCAAATGAGCAGTAGGAAAACAAACTGTCAATACACTTAATAAAAGAAATGCAATAATAGTACTCATTAAAAGTATATACAAATAAATTATTTATACTGATGAAAAGGAGAGATTTGTAAAAAAAGACAATAAATAAGTTTATTAAAATGTGCTTATGAATGGCATCGAAATTGGTGGTTAATGAATTCACATAAGAACAAATGTACGAAGCAATATCTAAATCGTAATTATTTAAAATGATCAATCCACATCTGCTGACTGTGGCCATGGTGATATCTTTCAAGTCATATGTCTCCATTATAAAACGGGTATGATCATGAATTGGGATAATATCACATTTAGACAAGCATAAAATTTTTGATTCATCTAAAACGGAGTTCAGATTTTCTATCCATAAGGAATGCAAGTAACAATCGAAGTAAATAATGTTAAGGTAATCACTCCTATTGAAGGTAGAATTTATTTCTATTATTTTTTTTGTCAATATTCCATGAACCCATTTATTTGAAACCTCTTCATAAAAACCCAGCATGTCCATTTCTCTTACGACGTTAGCATTTATTACATAATCATTTATTTTTCTTTTTATTATTTCCCTATCGTTAATGGTATTTATGGTTCTACATAAAATTTTATATGATGTCGTTTTGGAGAGTGGGTATGAGAGGAAGAGTATACCCGTGTGAAATTTAATCATGTTGTAGAGCTGAATAAGTTTGCTGATGTACCTATCTGTGCCTACGTAATTCAACTCTAGCATTTTTTTTTTTAACATTTTCTTGAGATAATCTTCCACGATTTCTTTTTTGCTTAGAAATAGTTTACTGGCTTGATGATTTTCTTCCTTCGCGGGTCCCTTTCCTTCCTCGGGTAACATCTCCACGCCGCTCATGGCTTCGTGTGAGTCTTCTTTTGGCGTCATCTTTATGCCGCTCTTTGGGTAACTGTGGCTGTCCTGGCTGTCCTTTTTGCACACGCGTGTGGGGGCAGCCATTTCCGAATCGTCCACTGCGCGGTTCTTCGCGTGGTCTCTCTTGCTGTCTCCTGAGCCTTCCCCAAATGGGGGTTGCTCCCGCTGTCCCATGCGCTTATCACCGTCACCGCGTTCGTCACTTTCATCGCGTAGGTCGCTGCGATCGCCCACCCCCCGCTCGCTCATCATATTGCAGTAAAAACTTTTCAAGTACATGAGTATACTATTGTCGTTGTTCCTCTTGCTGGAAAGGATGCACTTCAAGTCGATGGCGCCGCAGGTCTTGCCGGACGGGTTCAGGGACTGGTTGTAAGCGTACAGCTCATAGAAGATGTTTTTCATAATGGTGAGGAAGATATAAATGTCGTTTCGGACGATGGACGGCATTATGCACTCGATAATAGCAATGAACAGAAATTTATATTCATAGAAAATGTTTTTGTTATGATTGTTATTATCCTTGTCCACGATAATTTTCCCCATAACGTAGGTTATTTTTTTCACAGTTCTTAAGTCATATTTGTAATGTTTTTGTGGACTTAAATTATGTTCACACAATTCGAAGAGGAGGATAATTTTTTTTGACAACACCTTACTGTATTTGTAACCTTTGGAGTACAGCATCACTTCCACGATGGTGAAAAAGTCTGGCTTGATGAAGTTGAAGAAACGGAACAGGGCCTTGATATTGTTTGGCAGTGCACTCCTTCCTTTGTAAAATGGATTTATGATAATAAAAATATTGAACTCTTCGTTAATTTTTATATATTTCCCTTCGAAGAAAAGCATATTTTTTTTGCTCACGTGATTTTTCCCAGCTACGTGTGTTCCGCCAGCAATGTGTGTTTCCCTGCCGAGTGGTATCCCTTCTTGGGATATGTACCCACCAGTGTGACCTTCCCTAGGGGATTCTTCAGCTGCCTCTTCAGCATTATCACTACCCCCTGGGTGTCCTATCTGGGCAAAGCTCCCACCACGATTGGCGCCGCTCCTGGTGAACTTCCTCGATTTGGCACTGAACAAATTACACAGCTGCTGGGCCAGCACACTGAGAGCCTCTATACTTATTCTGTTAAATTCATCAAAGCAAAAAAATATTCCATTCGTGGCAATTCCAAAGAATAAATTTTTCAGGAAATCAAAGTTGATGTTGCAACTACAATTGTAGACAAAGTAAAATTTCCCCACGAATTTAGAAAAATACTTTGTGGTCTCCGTCTTCCCTGTGCCAGCTAACCCCACAGAACATACACCCAGCTTCGAGCTATAAGAGTGTAGAATGGATATGAAATATTTATTTATCAAACTTGTGAGTATAATTTTATTATCGTTGTGGATGTACTCGTAACCATATATATAAGACTCGTTCAAATATTTTATGTACAAATTTTTGTTGTAGTAGGAATACTTGAGCTGAATTAACCAATTGAAATTATTAACATCATTAACTTTTTTTTTTATTAATTCTTCTACTATGTCTCTATTGTGAACTAGCGATATGATGAGGGTGTGTAGGAGGACGCTTTTCTTTTTATCCACTTTGTTAATTATGTTAATGTATTCGTATAGCTCTTCATTCAAAATCTTTTTGTACTTGCTCAGGTTATTGTATTTCAGGAAAAGTTCTACGAGGTTAGACCAGAAGAGATTCTTTATGATCAGTACGAACTGGCTGTTCTTGTTCAGGGAGAAGAGGACCTTTTTGTTCACCGACGGGAGGGTGCCCGGTGAGGTAGACTGCGTGGGGGGCGCATCAAGCAGTGCACCCCCATCGTGGGAAACTCCCCCATCGCGCGGCTGCCCATCACGCATCTGTCCATCGCGAAGCTTCCCCTCTGCACAATCCCCCTCATCGGCCATGCTCCCGCTGGAGGAAAAACTGCTTGCAGAGTCGACCGAGTCGTAGTCGTACGATTTGCCCTGAGAGTAACTCTTAATGTCATTGTTGCTCTTGAGGAAGTCATCCTCCTTTATGTCCATCAAATTTTTATACTCCAAAATGTTATCATATATTTGCTTCTTCACGCTGAACAACATTTCCTTCTCCACCTCGACGAGGATTTCTGTGATTTCTTTTTTTTCAATTTGAATTTCGTTGCAGAGTAGGAGCTGCTCTCCCCTCTGGGACTGAAAGGCCACGATGTGCCCATTGACGATCACCAGCTTGTAAATGCTATTAAAAATCTTAAATAGGTAGGTGTTTATTTGATCATTGATGTTGGAGGAGATCAAGTTTATTAGGTCGTCTGTGCTCAGGAAGTAGAAGCGGTTGAAGATTTCCCTTTTCAGGTCTAGGTACTCGTTGATGCTCTTCAGGAGTAGGTTCAGATTGTTGTACAGCTCGACCAGCTTCTCCTTGGTGTCTTTCCTGGCGCAGAACTTCTCCAACTTCTTGTCTTCCTCGATGAGCTTGCACAGGTTCAGGAAGTTGCTGTAGATGAGCTTGTACCTGTGCAGGGGGGGAAAAAATTAAAAAGTGATAACGCGATAACGTGACACGGTGACAAGGTGATAACGCGATAACGTGACAAGACGAGAACTCCCCGCGGTGCCCACTTTTTAGACTCGTTCGTCAGCTGCTTCGAAATGTCCGTCAGCACGAAGATCCGGCTCAGGTACAGAAACAGATTCTGACTCTTCTTCAACGTGTGGATGATGTTGTTCGCGTTCATCATCATGTTCTGGTTGTTAATTATGTCAATGTGATAAATCTCATATATATTTATTATGAGCAAATTTTGGTTCAGCACCAGGTTCTCTTCTATCTTGGTCAAAATTTCGTTCATGTTGGAGATGATCCATATTTTGTTATTTTCCTCTTGCTTCATTTGGAACTCGATTTTGTTGAAGTTGTTTTTTATCTTACCCAAAAACTATGATGCGAAAGGAAGATAGCAGCGCCCCCACCAATCACAAAAAAAAAAAAAAAAAAAAAAAGGTTTACACATAAATGTGTATGTGTATAAAATGACAGCGTGGGGGAAGGGACCACGTCTTCTCTTAGACAGAGCAAAAAGGGGGAAGCAATTCTCCCTTTTGTGATACCCTGCACGATTCCCCATTTCCAATATGCCCTTTTGTTGCGCCTTACCTTCTCTATGGCATTCTCTTTATTTGCCTTCTCACAAATGTTAATGATGCTGGTTATTTTGTTGCTTATGTTCATCTTGATGAGCTCGTTAAATGTAATCGTGTTGAAGTCGATGTTGTTCTTGTCGTCGATAATTTTGGCTATCTGGGTGTGGGTAGAAGAAGGATGCATACATAAATTTGTGGGGAGGATAAAAAAACAGGGACAAATTTTTCACTCTATTATTTTTCTATGATCACCTTCCTCACGCGGAGTGTATACCCCCTCCCTCGTGGAACCCAGAAACTGTTTGGGGCCGTACCTGTTCCTTATGCCTCTCCTTTATGCTTGGCTTCCTCAACGAAATTAACAAAGACACGTATGAATTGAAGAAGGTCAGCTTCTCGTTCATCTTTTTAATTAGCCCATTTTTATTTTTGTAGTACTCGTTGGCGTGCTTGTTAATTTTGTTCATATTTTTCAAGATCAAGTTAAAATCGTCTTCTATTTTTTTGTGGTTGAGGGAATTAATTTTTTTATCGAACCTCTCATCCATCGACTTTATGCTTTTGTATATAAGCCAAAAGGTGTAGTACAGGTTTAGTTCCTGCGCAAGTGAAGAAAAATGGGGGGAGGGAGTGGAGCGAAGTTTCATATTTTTATCATATCACTTTTATGCAAAGTTAATCTAACAATGTTGCAACCATATTTGCCACTTCATTCGAACTACGTAGAGGAAATGCGCTTCCGGGCCGGACGGTCGGTCTGCCCCGTACACAGATACGCCCCCCCCCTCTGTCTCACATTTTGAATTTTTGGAAGGATCGAGAAATCCGATATTTCAATATTGAAGAGCTTTTCCCTGTAATTGATTTCCTTGGACTCCTTGATGAGAACGGCTAACTGATTCTGAACGGTCAGAATAAATTTGTTAATGCTCAGATAGTTGCTCTCGTCGTTGAAGCTTTTGATTGACTGCACATTTTCCTTCATGTCAACAATGCTGCTTTGAAACTTGGATTCGTCATTTATGAGTTCTTCGAGGAGAATATTTTTTTGCTTAACTATGTGTTCGTTAACTTCCTTGACAATTTTTTCTATCTTGCTGGGCCGGTTTACTATTTTCCAGTAGGACAAATAATCATCATTGGAAAATTTGTAGTTCAGCTTGTTCAGGCAGTTGAAGAGGACGTTTATTTCTTTAATATCGTGCGATACGAAGTCAAGGCTCTTCTTCATGTCTTTTATGTACTCCTCCTTTTCGTAGATGTCCTGAATTTTGTTCGTCTTTTTTTTTAGCCTCACGATTATGGAGTTGTAGAACATGAGGTTCGAGGTGTATTTTTCTTTGTATCTGCGGTGTGGTAGGTGCAAGAGGTTGCGAATGTGGAGTGGTATGTGGAAGCGCATCCCAAATGTGGGACTCTATCGCCCCGTTATCCCTGTCCTCATATTGACCCCCTCACAACGTAGCAGCCCACCCCCCCCGCACAAATGAAAAACTACTCAACCCAATTTGCGCAAAAAAAAAAAAAAAAAAAAAAAAAACTAACCGCTGGACAATGATGTTGGTCAAAGCTTTGATATAATTATTAATCTCATTTATGATAAAAAGCTTGATATCTTTGCATTTGACGAGAAAGATACCCAAGTTGATATTATCCTCGATGGTATCATTAATGTTCTGTATTTTTTCAAGATTCTTGTAGATGATATTTTGAATATGCTCTACACTTGTATTGATATCAATATTTTTGATGGCCTCATTAACATTGAAATTGAGAATGTCAGCGTGCTTGTTAATTTTTGACAAGTAGCTATCTATCATATTTTTTGATTCGTCAAAAATGTGTTTTATGTGAAGTAATTTTTCACATATAAATTTGTCACTTTCCTTGATAGATTTGTAAAAAATAAATTTGTCATTTTTGAACACCTGTGGAATTACTAACTTTTCTATTTTTTCTATCTGCTGATATTTTATGAGCATGGAATATATGAGGTCTTCCAACTTTTCGAAGAAAGAGAAGGGACTGTTGTCTAGAATAAATCTGGAGTAGTCAAATTTCTTCGTTACGTTAATTACGAATATGGGCATGTAATTTTTATTCTTCTTGCAGCTTATCATGTTTTGTACGAACATATTTACAAACTCTTCCATGTTGCTAATCAGCATTTCGTTTATTCTCCTTTCAATAATTAACTTTAATATGTTGAAGAAGATCCTTATCTTGGTGTACTTAAAGGTCTCCGTGGAGATATCCTTCAGGTTGTAATTTCCCTTGGTGCAATTCTTCAGATTTTCCTCAATGATCATCTTCATGTCGTTCATCCAGGCACTGTTCACGCGTTCGAAGGACTGCACGGCGGGAAGGAGCACAAAGTTCGCAAGAATGTGGCAAAATGTTCTGCATAGTAAGCAACGTATGTGTATAACCATACGGGATATCCCGTTTAGCTACTCTGCAGAAGTCATTTCATCCAATTTCTCCCTCGCCCCTTTTTGGGCACCCCACCCCCGCGTACCTTCAAAACGGAGGCGTTCTGCGCCTGGAAAAAGTCGTTCATCTCGTATGGACTAGAAATGGTAGTGTCAAATATGGATATCTTAATCAAGACACACTTGTTTATAATACCCAAAAAGGTCTTGATGACTTTCTTATTCTCCAGCAGTACACAGTGCTTAATGATATTCTTCTTGTTCTCGAAATCGTAGTTGTAGTATTTTATTTCGTTCTTGGCTCTGTACAACTGGTTGGGAAAATTAGAAAACTGATTGCTACAAATTCTTCTTCCCAGACATACATTACAAAAATTGTTCAAATTGCTCGCAATAGATTGCAAATCATTGGCATTTTTTATGATTGAATTACTTTCGGCAATTTCATGGACTTCGTTCAGTATACAATTGAAGTGCGCAAATTTGTTGTCAATTTCTGCAAAGAACAGCTTTTTCTTCAAGTTGGTAGATCTGTTTTTAATGGCGTTAAAAATTTTTTCTGCGTACAGTATTGGATTTTCGCTAGTAAAAAAAAACTGCATTCGATGAATTTCGAAAAATTCGTTTGATGTTTTTTTCTTTACCTTAAACAAGTTTGACTCATAATTATAATCATAAATGTATATGTCGTCAAAGACACTTTGAAATATGTTCTTCTGTTGTGAGATCACTCCTTTAGCCTTAAACGGAACGATGTTCCTTTCTTTTTTCTTAAAATTTTCATGATTTAACTCCTTTGCTGACTTGTTTTTTTCTACTTTTTGGTGACTATTCTCGCCTATTTGGTCCTCTGGGATTTCCTCCTCCTTTAGCTCCTTCACTATTTCGTCTATCGTGAATATGTCGAAAGACGAGTCCTCATAGTTTAGTATGTCTTGCCATTTGTAATTAGCTTCCTCCGAATCCAGCAGTCTCATTTTGTCATTTAGCGCATCGTATATATTGATACTTTTATATTTCTTCTTTATCTTTTCTATGGTGATAAATCTGGGTTCCCTTTCCCGTTGGTTTTTGAACGGCACGAACAGCTTGCATTTTTTTTCCTTCGACGAGAAGTCCTGGTCGTAAATTTCTTCCACCTTGAAGATGTCTATGTTTGAATGGATTTGGAGGTGTTACACGTGGAGGTGCACAAGACACAGGGGACATGGTGACTCCATCGGCTGCCTATTTTGCGCCTCCTGCGCTGATGTACCTGTCTTGTCTACCTATCTGCCTAGCTACCAATATGTTTGACACCCATCTGCTGCCTTCCCCTTTGGCTCACCTTCATCGCCCTCCCTGTCGCAACAGAAGTTCTGGGCCGACAAGTAATTCTTTTCTTTGTCCTTTTCCCTGGGCCTTTTCTTAGGGCTGCCCCTCATTAAATTCTGTGGTTGCAGGTGGGAAGTTTCAATTTGCACGTGCACATTTTTTCTTTTTAGGAATGTCCACAGGGTACAAAGGGGTAGCTGACGAAGTGTTGCGCGCTAACAAGTGTGATTATTTTGTGCCATCCTGGCTGCACCCCTTATAACGATCCTTATGTCTCCCTCCGCATGACATTTTCAATTCGAGAACAGTTACACACATGTATGTTCACACAAATATGACTATGTACGTGAGCGATGGCATGTGCCACCCTTTTTTGTTACCTTCAAATTGTCCGAGTCGCAGAAAATGTTCGATAAAAAAACATTCTGCTTAATCTCAATATTTTTTGCACTCATCTTTTTCACATTTTCATGCAGATTTTGTCTCAAAAGTTAGACTTAGAGAGAGAGAGAAAAAAAAAATGTAAATTAGATGCTACAATTGTAGAGTAAAAAAGTGCATGCATTTTTTTCACATAAATCTTTTTTTTCTCCCTTTTGAATGATTTCGCCTAGCATCATTCGTGGCTTGTTAAAAAAGGAAATTTTTTGCCTGAACGGTTAAGGTGACAATGAAAGAAAAAAAAAAAAAAAAAATAGCCAAATAGCCATGTATCAATGCAGCGAAAGGAAGAAGGCAGATGCCCCACACATTCCGTTATACATCCCCTTCCCTTTAGAAAATGCGAATTCGCTTTGAATAATAACTGGTAAGACAAGTTTGTGCTTCACGCGGTTCTCCCCTTTGTGGAGAGCTTAAAAAGGTTTATACCCCCCGTTATAGGAAAAAATAATATGAACACGCTATGGGCAGTGATATTTATTTCGTAACTTGAACATTTGGACATTTCTGCACTGCACAATACGGCCGCTTTGTCAAAAAATGCAGAAAAAATTAACTGAAAAAGGAAGCCTATATCCTTTACAAAAGACGCGATTTTAAGTGAACCTTTGGAACCTTTGTGTGAAGCTATTTACCAAAACATGGAGGCGATTTTTTGCCCCTCCTTTGCTGCCGTTTTTTTTTTTTTTTTTTTTGTGGCAATATTTTTTGTTAAAAAAATTTAACACTTCATAATTTTAAGAAGTTTTAGCTACTACACTTTGGGAATCATAACCAAAGTCGTGTAAAAATGTATCACAATTGTGCATAAAAAAAAGGGTGCAGAGAAATACATATCGCGAAATTGTGAACACTTAAACTGGTAGCAAAACTGCTAATCAAATTGCGCGAATTAAAAAGGGTGTGTATACTACGTGTGCTCTGCGAGCTGTGTGTATATGCATTCATTGAACATGTGCTCACGAACGGAAGCAAAGACCGGTGCGTGGGTCCATGGGATAATTAAGAACGACTTACACGTACTACTACATAATGAGATCATTTAAAAAAAAAGGGAAAATATACATAAGAAGAAGACTACATATGGGAAAAAACTAAAAAAAACACAAAAAGAGGCACGCTCCACATTTGTGTGCGCTTATGCACACTGCGCAAAAAAAAAAAATTTTCAAAAATGGGAATGTAGACTGCGTAGCGCTCATTAAATAGAGGGAAAATTTTAAAAAGTAAAAAATTTAAAAAGTGAAAAATTCAAACTCGAAACTTGAAATTGACAATCCAATAAAAGACCGAGTCTGGAAACATCAGGGACACGCAAAAAAAAAAAAAAAATAACTGCTATTAAATAGCAAGTTTTTAATTAAAAAAAAAAAAAAGAAGAAAGAATTACTCCTTTTGTTGTTTATCAACATTTTTTAAAAGGAATTGCTTCCTAATTATCAAATGCTTTCCTATTATATGGGACACATAAGGGGTGCAGAGGAAATCATCGGAGCAGTTTAAAAGTTGCTTAAGTTTCAGTGCACTTTCCATAACGATATTTTCGTAATCCCAAAAGATCATTTCTTTCCTTTTTAAAGTATACGCTTCTCTTACACATATGGAGTTGATGTAATCAGGAATGCCTGGGTGCTTTAAGTAGCTGTGCAGGGGGCCCGTATACCATGCATGTATAATTTTGTATGGGAAGGAATAAAAGTACATTGGCTTGAAGAAGAAGTCCACTTTTAATTTATCCTTGCACGTTTTTTCATCGCACATGGGCAGGCATAGATGCTCTAATGGTAGGTGCGCCTTCATGAATATGTCTAAATTTGTGATCTGGGTAAAAATGGACGGCTGGTTTAGGAAATAATACACATTGTTGCAGACGGTTCGTGGGCTCACAAATTGTTCATTTCTTACGAGTGCACTTCTCACACCTCTTTGGTCCCTTTCGTTAACCGCTAAAAGGGGGGTTTTCAGCTTTCCCATCATCTCCACAATGTTTCTGTAATTCAGACAGTCCCTTACATTGTCGCAAGAATCACGCCCGTTTTTCAAGTACTCATTGAGGGCGTCGTACAGGTACGTCATAAGTTTCTTTTGTTCATTGGCATTCTTTTCATTTGCCAGCGCCAAACTCACATTTGACAAGTCCCGTCCTTTTTCTCTTCCTGCACTGACTCGTCTTTCTACAGACTTTGCTACGCATTTGAGTGAAATGCCTTTGTTTGCACGCAACTGAAGAAATTTGTCTCCCATGTTGGATTTGCGTTCCTCTCTTTCAGTTTCCCCTTGAGTTTTCCGAAGAAAAGGATTGAAGACATATTTGTTCTCCTTCTTTTCTTGGATGTAATTCTTCGATATGACATACATCAATTCCTTGTGGGCAAACAAGTCCGTAGCATCCTTGTCAGCTGCAGTAGCTGCAATTTTATTAATTTTTTCACTTGGTTCAGAGAAAAAATCGTGGCCAATAACTTCACAGGCTAGTAATCTTTCACAAGGAACATAATTCAAAAGATTAGTCAATAAATCCCAGAAGTCATCACTATAATTTATGGGGCACTCAAATTTGCCGTAACATCTTTTTATATTTCTTTGTCTCTCACAAGAATCTTTATGACAAACTTCTTTTAAAACACGAGCCAAATATTTATTGGTTAATCGACTATGCCAGTACTCCCTGTTTCCATTCATGTGTTCCTTTTGCAGGTTGACATGAAAGTCTACGAAATATTTTTCTTTTTCTATTCTGTTTCTAAACCTGAAGATACCTGACCCCATGCCCTTAATGGTTAGCTCGTGTCTAACAAATGACTGATAGTCGTCGTAGATACTGTACGTCAGGCTGTTATTAATTATTAGAAAGACGAATAGGATTTTCTTGCCTATATTTTCGGGGGTTATCAAATGTTTATTCCACTTATAATATCTCACAAACTCATATTTCATATATGTAAATTGATCATCTTTTATGAAGCTTTTGTATTGTAAGATGAACTGCTTGTAATGGGTTGTAAACAAGTCTAGGTTTTCAAATTTCTCCTCATCATCTTTTTGGTTTTTCTTCCTGTGTCTCCCATTGTTCTTCTCGATTTTATTCTTTTTTTCATCATTCCTGGGGTCATTTTTTTTCAAGCCAGGGTTGCTTTTATTTGGCTTTGAACAATCGTTTACATTGTCCTCAATTTTTATTTCCATCCCTTTGGCGCCTCTGGAACGATTCTTAGCGCAGTTGATTCTGTATCTGTGTCTTTTTCCCCTTCGCTTGTCTGCACATTTGTGCATGTCTCTCCCGATGGAGTTGTCGCTATGGTGGTTTTTCAAATCTCCCACTGCGTTTCCCCCGGAGTTGGCACCTTCCTCGTCTGAAATGCTCCCCCAATTGGACTCGTCCCCGTGGTCCCTTTTGCGTCCACGGTTTTTTAGATTCTCATTCTCTATACATTCATCGCCCCACTGCATGCTAACAATGTCGTAGTAGTCCATTATACACTGCAAATAAAAAACTTCTTCAGCGTTTGAGATATTCAAGTTGTCCAATACTATGCTATTTAGGTCCACATTTTTGCTGTTGGCCATACAGTTAATGCAATTGGGGCTGAAATTTTCTAATGTTGCATAATCGTAAGTGCCCATTCCGCATTTCCCTAAATCGGCTAGGATGATGCCTAGGGCCCAGCTGTCGCATCTTACATCGAAAGGGAAGTATTCCGTTGAGGTGTTGTTCATCTTTTTGTTGCTTTCTTTTTGGTCGTTTTTTCCTTTCCCTTCCCCTTTCCCTTCCCCTTTCCCTTCATTTTTCCCTTCAGTTTTCGCTTCAGCTTTCCCGTCAGTTTTCGCTTCACTTTTTACTTCACTTTTTACTTCAGTTTTTCCGTCAGTTTTCCCTTTGCCCTTTTCGTTACCTGCATGTTCCGTGTTGTCTCTTTGCGCGGGTAGCTCTTTCTTTTGTGAAATGTCTTTCTCACTTGGTGCATTCTTTTCTTGTTCCATTTGTCCCTCAGCATTGTTAGCACCATCAGGATTTCTTTGAGGTGCTTCCTTGTCTTGAGTTTTCATCTCATGATTCAAATCAAAGTTTTTATAAGAGTTTATATTAAGCAATTTACATTTTTGCATACTGCTAACAACCCCATCTAGGGATTTTTCAAGCTCTTTAAATCTGACATCGATGTTTCCAAAATTTTGCTCATAAAAATGAATCAAGGGGTTATATTTTGAATTTCTAAAATTTCTTTTGTGGTCGTAGCATAAGCCTTCAGGTGCCATGGTGTAAACTGTTCCTTGGAAGTACGAAGAGAGTTGATTAATTAACTGATGCTTCCACTGGCTTAAGGCACTTTTGTACTCTTTTGTGTTGTGTTCTTTCATATTTTCAAGGTGATAAGTTGCATATTCCATTGCAGAACAGCCAAAATCGGAAATGCACAAATGCCACTTGAAGGGATTATAAATATTATGAGCAGTTGTATACACCAAAATGTTTTGCAACTTAATATCTGTTAAGCGTATTATGTTAGATTGGTAGCATGTCTGGAGGAAGCTAATTCCGTTTGCTATCTGAAAGAAGAGAAATTTACACTCCAATTCTGTTAACCCACAATTGTACATCTTTATTTTGTCATATACCAAGTCCACTTTGGGTAAGTCTACCTGGACTTCGGTGTTATATAATCTTATTTTCACATTTTTTAATTTTTGATAGCATAGACCTATACAAGTATTTTCTCTTTTATGTTCATTTTTGTAGCATTTGTATTTTTCCCCCCAAATGATATGTATTATTTTCAGGATTTTGTTAATTCTTGTTCTTTTTTCATATTCTTTTTTTCTGTGGCATAATAAATTTTGAAGTAATTTTCTCAAGTCACCATTAGCACAGTGCATTAATATTTCGTAATTCCGTTTTTCCTTTAAGTTTCCATTTTTTGTGCTTATGGGTTTAATGACGTTGCTGTTGAAGTGGCACATCATTTCTTGTTCTCTCACAAATTGAAAGTCGTTCCCTTTTCGATTAACGTCTATTTCTTTTATGGCTAACTGGACGTACCCTTTGCGGTCACAACAAGGGCACTGGTTTTCTTTTTCATGTTCTTCTAAAATGGGCTCTTGGATATTTAGGGGTTCTTTTCGTGTGTTCACCTGACAAATTGAGCTATCGTTTTGTATACCCCTGCTCACCTCCTTTGCGTCACTAACTGCGAGACTTCCATTATTTAAGGCAAGGGAATAGTGTCTTCTGGTTTTCACACTGGGGGCGTTATTGTAGACCGCCTGGGGGTCCAGTTCCGCTGCGTCTTTTTCGTCAGCCTGTTTCAACTTGTTCAGCGTGGTACATTTCTCTAACAGGTGTGCAAATTGTGGACTATTTATCTTGTCAATGTAAAATTTTAAGTCCTTTGCATTGTTGTCGATGTTGTACAAAGCCTTCCTGACCTTGCCATAGGAACCCTTCCCGACAAAGTTATCTACGTAATTGATGTAGCCCAAGTTTGACCAATTTTTCTTTGCCTTGTCTTGTACCGAATCTCTCTTCTCATTTGTCGCTGATGGTGAATATTTCTCTAAGCCTTTCACGCTTTTTTTCTTTTTACGATTTACACGTACAGTTTTAGTATCATTGGGATAAATTACTGAGGCCGTAATTTTATATTTGTCCTTATCAATTACATGTCCATTTTTGTCCCTTGTATTTTTTTTTTCATCGTTCTGTTTTTCTTTTTCATGCTCATGCGCACTATTAGGCATGTCTAATTTTTCTGCAGCGTCCTTTGCGGGATGTGCATCACCTACTTTTGGTTTAAGCTCCGTGGTGTTTTCTATTTTGTCTTTCTTTTCCTCACCCATGGGATCCTTTTCCTTGTTACACTGCTTGGGACGTTCTGGTTCCTCTTTTATCACGACGGCCTCCTTTTTTTTGTACCCGTCTACTGCATCCACGGGGGACTTTTCCTGTGTACTGCCTAACATTGGTCCTTCCTGTTTCGCGACTGCTTCCTTCCCGTTTGCAACTTGTTCGCATTTACCTTTGATCGGTTTGTTCATTTGGGATGTTTTTTTCTTTTCATGGTTTGCATGATTATCTGATTTGGCCACTTCTTTGTTAAGTCCTTTCGATTTGGAGGTTTCCCCCTGCAGAACTTTTATTTGAGGAGAATCCCTTCCCGTATTACCATCTTCATTACTGTATATTTCTCCACGGTTGTCTTTAATGGAGTTTTTTTCGTCCAAAGGATTTTCCCTCTTTTGTGAAAGTTTCCCTTTCAAAGACGCCTCGTTTTTATCGCCCTTGTCCAGGTTACTTTCTCCGGTTGGAGCCTCTTCCGTTTCGACTGTTACTTCGCTTGGTTCCTTTGTATCCGTTCCTTCTACACTGCTTTTTTCTTTCATTTTATGGAATAATGTAGTTTGCACTGCTGGAAGGTGTTCTCCATTTTGGACCTCTTGATCCGTTTTGGCCTTCTTTACTTTTTCACTTGTTTTTTCTTGTTGCGTTTTCCTATCATCCTTTTTGCGACTTTCCACCCTTAACGCATCTGTTCCATTTTTGTTTTCATTTTGCTTCTTTCCAGCAAGATCCTCTCCTTTGGCCACATCCCCTTTTGGTGGTTTAGCACAATTTTTATTTTCCCCCACGTTGACATTAGAAGCATGTGTTTGATCTTGACGAGGTTTTTCCTTTCGCTTGTCTTTATGGTTATTGCTATTTCTGCTAACTGCACTGCTTAGATCATCGGCATTTTTTTGATCCTTTGGATTGTCATCCGTTTTCAATATTTTCAATTTTTTCTTTATTTTTTCATTTTTGCTCATGACTTCCGCAACGGGCTCACCTTTTGAGTCAGCTTTTCCTTGGCTGATGTCTTTAAGCTTTCTTTTTTTTTGCGCCATATTATTATCGTTTTGCACTTGTTCCGAATTGGTGCACTTTTCTTCACATTTCTTTGGGGAACTTACTTTTTTTTTCGCTTCTTTTTCATTTTCCATGAGAACATTATTAAAAAGGGCATTTCGATTCACGAGGAAATCATATTTCGACAAATTTTTTCCATTTGTGCTATCTTGTAAAGTTTTATTTCTTTCTCCCTGTTCTTTTGCTGAGCGTGATCTCAACCTATCTTTTATCGTATTGGATTTAACAATGTCAGGGAATTCGTCACCTTTTGTGTGCTCCGTTTTATTATATTTCTTTTTATGAGAAATCACATCATTTTTTATATCTTCATCCGAACCATGGAAATTCATTATCTTTGTCAAAACTTGACTATTTCTTTTATGCACAACTATTTGATTTTTACTGCTTCCTTTTGATGGGATTTCTCTTGGGCCCTTTTTGTAACTGCATTCGTGTGTATCTTCTTTACAATTGAAATTTTGCTCTTCACACCTCCATTGTTGATTTTCATTTGTTAAGCTTCTTCTACTCCTTTGATTTTTTGTTATGGTGGTCACTGCGACGTTTTCCTCCTTTGAATCTTTTTTCCGTTCATTTGCGTTGTATTTTTCTCTTGATTTATCCTCCCGGCCGTAGCCCTCTTTGTCTTGATCAGAAGACTTTCCTTTTGTTTTTCCACATGTGACATCTGTATATAATGAATTTCCTTCGCTTTTATGTTTTTTATTTTGAGTATTTGAATGATTTCTCATTAGGTGTGCATTTTTCTTTTTTTTGTCGCTCTGTTTGTGTTCCCCCATACCTACGTCGTTTTTACGTGCTTGTCCTCGTTCCTGTTTGTGACTTCGCTCTGTTTGTTCTACACTTTCCCGTGATACCACTTCTTCACAACTCTCAATTCCCCTAGTTAGCAATTTCGCCCTATCATTGCCAGCAACTCCTGGTTCCGCAAAAACTAACGCATTCACGTCTTCCTTCTCTACGCTAGAATCAGTGCTATTAAAAGCATTAGTTTTTAAAACGTTTTTATTTGGACGTCTGGAACGACTGCTCGAACTGCATTTAGACGACTCCTCGATTGAGACTAGATTGCACACAGGAGTGGAATAGTTTGGCGACAATTTTTCATTTTTTAATTTTCTGTAGGAATTATTAGACACATCAGAGTTGTGCAAAAATACCTTGTTGGAGTGACTAAAATTGAGATCCTTCACCTTGGACAAGTTGATATTTTTTATTGGTGTAGAATCCAGCATGTTAGATTTGTATTTCGCATTGCACGAGTTCTTTATGGGGTTATAATTCATTGCATCTAAGGCAGGGGTAGTGACGTTGCTATTAAATACGTTGTAGTTCAAGTTATTCGAATTGGATACGTTCGAAAAATTCAGATTATTATTTATAGAATTCACAGAATACAGGTTATATTTCAAGTAATCATTTTTATGTGGACTTGAGTTGTTGGAATAATTTTTCTGATTTTCTGGGGTGCTCGTGTTTAGCATGCCAGTATGATATATGCAGTTGTTAGAATTGTGGTAATCGGAACATTTCATTGCATTATTAAAATAAGCAGAATTCATGTTTAGTAAATTATTGTCTGTTGTGCTTGTCTTAATGGAGAATGGATTGCCGTCAATGTAAACCTTATTCATATTGTAGACATGGTTAGAATTGGGTGTATTAGAATTTGAGTAACCCACATTATTTGGTTTTATTAAATTGTTATTACCATCACGCATTGGGGGATGGCAATTCATAGCGCTATTATTTGAGAAACACATATTTGCGTTGTTCGCACTTATTTCATTAGACGTAATCGCATCGTAGCTCTGTCTAACTGCTTGGTTGTCGTAATTCCAATGGAAATTATTTACCTGTGTGAATTTTATTTTGTCTTTTTGTGTTTTTCCGCAATTTTCCTGATCCCTATTGTGGATGTGGAATTCGCTTTTTGGGTCGGAGAAGTCTCCGCCGTTGCAATTTGGGGTGTGCGCATCACTGGAAAAATTCGCGTCCATTTTGTTGCAACTACTGCTGTCGCTGTTAGTTTTACTATTGTTGGTACTACTGTTTGTACTGTTGTTACTGCTGTTGCCACTGCTGGTTTTACTATTGTTGGTACTTCTGTTTTTACTAGTTTTGGCACTTCTATTTTTGCTACTGTTGATACTTCTGTTTTTGCTACTGTTGGCACTGCTAGTATTGTTACTGTTGATACTTCTGTTTTTACTACTTTGGGCACTTCTATTTTTACTACTTCTGGCTCTTGTATTTTTGCTACTGTTAACACTTCTATTTTTGCTACTGTTGACACTGCTAGTTTTGCTACTGTTGACACTGCTATTATTACTACTGTTGTTACTGCAGTTGATACTGCTGTTGATACTTCCCTGCTTACTATCGCTTTTACTTCCACCTTTACTTTTGTCTTTACCGCGGCTGTTATTGTTACCTTTTACAGTGTGTTTTCCACCTTCATCATTCACGTCTCCATCCATTTTTGCTCCACAAAAGCGTTACCCAAACTTATAGCTTTTTTTTTTGCAGAGTAATTTATGCAAAAGGCACGTGATATTACAAATAAATACAATGACCAAAATATATGATGTGTGACACAGAGAAGGGACTTTAAAAAAAATGGAACATGGGAACCCTTCTAGTGTATTTAAAATACCAAGGGATTTGCTCTCTTCTCTTTCCTTTATCTTTTTACTATCGCTACGCATATAACTTTCCGTGTTGAACTTTTGCTATACGTTTTCAATTGCGTGTATCTTTTTCCTTTCCCCAGTAATATTTTGCTGGTGACGCCGTTTTAATGGTACGGACGTTTTCTCCTTATCATGAAATGAATTAAAAAAGAAAAAAAACTTTATCTTTATATTTTTTTTATTCTATGCTGTGCTATGTTAATTTCATTCTTTTTGAAGAACATGTGTTTGCCGATATAACGGATTGTAGTTCAGAATAAAAGAATACAGAAATTAGCAAAGCTCGTGTGTAATATTTTCAAAACAATATAGGACGTTAAAATGTACATGCACCACATGTATTTTTCATCGAGTGCAATTCCAAAAAGAATTTCTAACGCACATACTTTTTCTCAACCACGTGAACACACGTACCTTCGTGTACGCATATGTACATGCGTACAGGTACTTATGTACATGTGCGTACATGTACATATATGCATGAGTACATGTACATATACCAACACATGTATTCTGTATTTGGTAACAAGATTCACTAAGGTATATCTCCGAGCATTATGCATGCACATGTAAAAGTGTATGTATACCATCAACACATGAACATATGATACATATATAACAAGTTACATGGTTTTAAAACAAGTCCATGTAATGTATTAAAAAAAAAAAATGTGTAACTGAATATGAATTCTTTTATCATATCTTTATGTTTTAAAAAATTTATGTATTATTTAAAAATGAAAATTGTGCTTTACTCTTAAGGCTATTAAAAAAACTCGTCTTTTGTAACTTTGCACATTTAAAAATGATTTTCTTTCTTACATGTTTAAAAGTATTTTCCGTAATGAAAATTTTAGCTATCTTAAAGTTTAAAAAAAAAAAAAAAAAAGGTTATAATTCTAAAACTAGACGTTTAAATAAATGTCAATAAATATTCTATTTGACTTCAAAAGTAAAAAAAAAAGTACACATTGTGGACGCATTTTAAAAAAAAATATATATATATATATGTACTGTGGACTGGACGCATTTTACAAAAAAATATATATATGTACTATGGACTGGACGCATTTTAAAAAAAAATATATATATATATATGTACTGTGGACTGGACGCATTTTACAAAAAAATATATATATGTACTATGGACTGGACGCATTTTAAAAAAAAATATATATATATATATGTACTGTGGACTGGACGCATTTTACAAAAAAATATATATATGTACTATGGACTGGACGCATTTTAAAAAAAAATATATATATATATATGTACTGTGGACTGGACGCATTTTACAAAAAAATATATATATGTACTATGGACTGGACGCATTTTAAAAAAAAATATATATATATATATGTACTGTGGACTGGACGCATTTTACAAAAAAATATATATATGTACTATGGACTGGACGCATTTTAAAAAAAAATATATATATATATATGTACTGTGGACTGGACGCATTTTACAAAAAAATATATATATGTACTATGGACTGGACGCATTTTAAAAAAAAATATATATATATATATGTACTGTGGACTGGACGCATTTTACAAAAAAATATATATATGTACTATGGACTGGACGCATTTTAAAAAAAAATATATATATATATATGTACTGTGGACTGGACGCATTTTACAAAAAAATATATATATGTACTATGGACTGGACGCATTTTAAAAAAAAATATATATATATATATGTACTGTGGACTGGACGCATTTTACAAAAAAATATATATATGTACTATGGACTGGACGCATTTTAAAAAAAAATATATATATATATATGTACTGTGGACTGGACGCATTTTACAAAAAAATATATATATGTACTATGGACTGGACGCATTTTAAAAAAAAATATATATATATATATGTACTGTGGACTGGACGCATTTTACAAAAAAATATATATATGTACTATGGACTGGACGCATTTTAAAAAAAAATATATATATATATATGTACTGTGGACTGGACGCATTTTACAAAAAAATATATATATGTACTATGGACTGGACGCATTTTAAAAAAAAATATATATATATATATGTACTGTGGACTGGACGCATTTTACAAAAAAATATATATATGTACTATGGACTGGACGCATTTTAAAAAAAAATATATATATATATATGTACTGTGGACTGGACGCATTTTACAAAAAAATATATATATGTACTATGGACTGGACGCATTTTAAAAAAAAATATATATATATATATGTACTGTGGACTGGACGCATTTTACAAAAAAATATATATATGTACTATGGACTGGACGCATTTTAAAAAAAAATATATATATATATATGTACTGTGGACTGGACGCATTTTACAAAAAAATATATATATGTACTATGGACTGGACGCATTTTAAAAAAAAATATATATATATATATGTACTGTGGACTGGACGCATTTTACAAAAAAATATATATATGTACTATGGACTGGACGCATTTTAAAAAAAAATATATATATATATATGTACTGTGGACTGGACGCATTTTACAAAAAAATATATATATGTACTATGGACTGGACGCATTTTAAAAAAAAATATATATATATATATGTACTGTGGACTGGACGCATTTTACAAAAAAATATATATATGTACTATGGACTGGACGCATTTTAAAAAAAAATATATATATATATATGTACTGTGGACTGGACGCATTTTACAAAAAAATATATATATGTACTATGGACTGGACGCATTTTAAAAAAAAATATATATATATATATGTACTGTGGACTGGACGCATTTTACAAAAAAATATATATATGTACTATGGACTGGACGCATTTTAAAAAAAAATATATATATATATATGTACTGTGGACTGGACGCATTTTACAAAAAAATATATATATGTACTATGGACTGGACGCATTTTAAAAAAAAATATATATATATATATGTACTGTGGACTGGACGCATTTTACAAAAAAATATATATATGTACTATGGACTGGACGCATTTTAAAAAAAAATATATATATATATATGTACTGTGGACTGGACGCATTTTACAAAAAAATATATATATGTACTATGGACTGGACGCATTTTAAAAAAAAATATATATATATATATGTACTGTGGACTGGACGCATTTTACAAAAAAATATATATATGTACTATGGACTGGACGCATTTTAAAAAAAAATATATATATATATATGTACTGTGGACTGGACGCATTTTACAAAAAAATATATATATGTACTATGGACTGGACGCATTTTAAAAAAAAATATATATATATATATGTACTGTGGACTGGACGCATTTTACAAAAAAATATATATATGTACTATGGACTGGACGCATTTTAAAAAAAAATATATATATATATATGTACTGTGGACTGGACGCATTTTACAAAAAAATATATATATGTACTATGGACTGGACGCATTTTAAAAAAAAATATATATATATATATGTACTGTGGACTGGACGCATTTTACAAAAAAATATATATATGTACTATGGACTGGACGCATTTTAAAAAAAAATATATATATATATATGTACTGTGGACTGGACGCATTTTACAAAAAAATATATATATGTACTATGGACTGGACGCATTTTAAAAAAAAATATATATATATATATGTACTGTGGACTGGACGCATTTTACAAAAAAATATATATATGTACTATGGACTGGACGCATTTTAAAAAAAAATATATATATATATATGTACTGTGGACTGGACGCATTTTACAAAAAAATATATATATGTACTATGGACTGGACGCATTTTAAAAAAAAATATATATATATATATGTACTGTGGACTGGACGCATTTTACAAAAAAATATATATATGTACTATGGACTGGACGCATTTTAAAAAAAAATATATATATATATATGTACTGTGGACTGGACGCATTTTACAAAAAAATATATATATGTACTATGGACTGGACGCATTTTAAAAAAAAAATTTCCCGCTCAATATTAATTTACAATTTTGCCGCTAATAAAAGTTATTTGGGTACGCTATGGAGTGCAATTAAAAATAAGCACAACATAAATTAGAGAAACGAAAACAATTGAGACAATTTAGTTTGCTCACATTTTTAAAAATAATGACCTTAATAGTACATGTCCTCCTTTTTTTTTTTTTTTTTTTTTT